AATAACTAAAGACTGGAATATAGAAACAAAAAGAATTGCTTAAATTTGCATGTTTTAAGAGCCACACAGCCTGATTGACTTCTGTGTTGCTAGGGATTATCAAAGTTAACTTAGCTGGGTTCTGCTTTACAGAGTTCATACACAACAGACAACTGAATTTGTATGTGCAGTATGGGTATATTGTAATATACAATTAATAACTAGCTGAGATAAAATGTTCTTATTATAATCTGATTTTATATAATAAACCATTATTTATTATTTTATTACTTTTGTACATATCCTTCAATGTTCCAAATGCTAGTTTGCTAGTAAATTGGTGATAAGATTTTGTCTTTAAAAGTAAATTTTTAGTGGTTTATTTTTATATTTCATTCATTCAAATAAAAATATGGGAAAATATCATGCAAAGCAAAAAGCTTAATTATGACATAATTGGTATTATATAGAATTATAGGAAAACATAATGAGAATTACGTAAAGCAATTTTAACATAATTTACTCTTCACGTTTTAATCCAAAACTTAAATCATGCAAGAATATTAAAACAAAATATACAACAAATTTTCAACTATGAAAGTTTTAATGCACAATATAAAAATAATATAATCAAGACATACCACACTCACCTCAATGCATCATAATCATAACATTTTTGGGTGCACTTTTAAAAGTTCATTTGCATCTACACAGCAGTTTATTTTTATCTAGGCTATTATTTGTACCTATATAGAGTTGATTAATTCTATAAAGTGTAAGACTAAAAATCAAGCCTCCATTACAAATTTACTAAATAAAAATCAATTACTGTGAGTATACAACTTGTTAATACAAATTATAATAATACTATGTTAAAAATAAAAGATTGAATTTCTCAAATTATAATTAAATAAACATATAAAAAAAATTATAAAATATTGGAATACATACAAAGTTGGGTCAAAATCTTCATCTAATATTCTGAATGTAATTACCTAATAAAAACAATAATATTTATTAAAGGCATTTGTCATGAAATTAGAACAAATAATAATTATAGGATATTGTATTTTAAAATGTACATGTTCTTTTCATTACTATACAAATATTAAACAGTAATATTATATATGATTTAGCATTTAATCTCAATATGTTGATTGTTTCATAGTGTTTATATTTAAATAATTTATGAAGATAAAATGTACTAACAAAGTTAAATTTGAAACATGAAACAATGAACAAAGTGACATTATAATAACTATGTTAGGTTTGCTATATGAGCTACTTAGATAAAATGTTGTAAACTCAGAATAGAACAGAGAACAAAGACTAAAGAGGAATATGGCCAGTTTACTCATTTACTAGATCAAGATTAATATCCTTATGCACTTAAACTCATCACGTTTCTCACACACACATATACATCCATGCACAACTTGCATCATTTTTACGAGAATAATGTGCGAAAAGACAACACATTTTATATTAAGTCCGTAACTAAAAGTATCCTAATATATACTGGATACACAGATAAATTTACGTATTGAAAAGTAAATATAATAATAAACAATATACGCCTCTAAAGCTGGTGTCATGATTAAAATGCGTGCAAAGGACGTACCATATACATTATGAAAGTAGGCACTGACGACAAAAACTTATTGTTTCTAAAGTGTACAAAATCTATAAATGAAGTGGTTCAAAGGAATAAACTAGTCAACATACTCATAAACATTTCTAAAACAGAAACAAAGAAAATATTGTAGAACTTTAATAATTGGCATTCACGAAGAAAATGGCGTCATATCAAACTAATCACGGAACAAGGTACTATTTCATCATACGTAAGCACAACACAATATCATAACCAAACACCCGTAAAATAATGATATAAATAGAAAAATAAATTTCTTTAACAAATTACTCACTTTGAATATGAATTCCAAAGAAAATCATCCAAAAACTTAAAGGACTGATGACAAGGCACTCCACTCACCGTTTGCAAAACCCAGACTACACAGGTCACGTGATCACAATAGAGTTGCCATTATGTAGATAAAATAAAATTAAAATTTCCATTCACTACATAAAACAATTTACAAAAATAATGTATTGAAAACTAAATAAAATCATAATAAACTTTGTAAATATTTGCAAATAAAATTTCGCAATGGTAATACTCATTTTATTATACATTTAACATAACATGCTTACAATGTCTTTTCTTGCCAAAAAAAATCAATTTCAAATTAGCTAAAAATGGGTTTCTCTTACTAAAGTACCGCTGATAAACAAATATTATTATTTAAAGATCTTACCGTTTAAATGCCATAAAACGATTTTTTTGTTGAAGATCGATTCTTGCACTTGCGTTATAGCGCTATGCCCTTCGTTTAGCTCCTTCGCCTAAAGATATGTTGACTTATTTTTGGTGGGTTATCTTTATTCTTCTGTTTATCACAGACCACGGAATAAAAGAAAAAATAAATAGCTCGTAAACAATGAACAATATGCCTATTTCCTACGAGAGCCATTGTGAGCGGTCTCTTTTCAGTTCTATAAGTAATAACTGGCAACATACAAGAGAGAGACCTTTGTCTCGAGACTACGGTGAAGATTGTGTGTATTCAGGGCTTTTTAACATCCCACTGCTGGGCACGGGCCTCCCTCTAATACGAAGGGGATCAGGCCATAGTCAACCACGTTAGCCAAGTGCGGGTTGGCGGACTTCACATGTCTTTCGAAAACTTGTAAAATTCTCTCAGACATGCAGGTTTCCTCACGGTATTTTAGTGTTAGAAGATAGTGCGTTATTGAAAATATTTTGCGTCAGCACTTGTTTTCTTGAGGTCCAAAACTCCATCGACCTATATGATGTTCCAGCATTTCTGGGCGCACCATAAATGATGTAATTAGTAGAGTATGCTCTAATACTATGCCCATCAATCCTGACGTACCCCAAGGCTAAATACTATTGCTATATCATTTATATATCCTATATACCAACGTCATTTTGCATGCTGTTGTCATTCGACACTACTAATACGCTGACGATAGTACAGCAGATACTTAGTGCATTAGCCTAGCAGGTTGAGAAACATGTACTCGAAATAAAACTTCGAAATAGAAAGTCTTCCATGGAGCAGGTTTCAGACTAGGGGCGGCGAAATCTCGTTCAGTTAAACCTCAAGAAGTCTCAAGTTCCTGCGTTCTCCAACAAAAATACTTATTTATCTTTACAGGTAGCGCCAAAGTTCCCAAATACTTCTCTTAAGATATCTAAATATATCTAAAAGTATTGGGATGTTAAGAGTCAAAATACTTAACGACGTTATACATCTTGGTATTGCTAGCCAAAATGAAATGGTTTCCAAAAAATTTAATATGTTCATGAGAGCTACATAATGTTAATGATAACACGAACCATTAAAGTTTTAATATACGTTAGTTGTTTTATTCGTATTATATTAGTTTCTATAGTGTTCATATTATGACCTTTACCACTAAATATCTTGGGAACGTGATAATTTAGGGCAACATATTGCTGATATTGTTTGTTGCATTCATTACATACCAGTTACATCGAACGTCGCAACTTAAAAAAAATGGAGAAGTTTAACTATTATCAACTGCCGTCTGCGATAGAAAACTGTTCTTCAGTTGCTCTTAACATTCTATACACGAAAGAGAAGAAACAGGGAAAGACACCGACACATGTTTTATTTCAGTCAAAACTAGCATAATTATGAATATGCGAATTAAATGTTTGCTCTAACTTTTTTCGCCGTAAATAAGATTTATTTTGCTATACTGTAGTACGTAATTTTAAGGACATTTTGTATTCTAACGTAAATTCTGCTTTTTGTCTAGAGATGGTGGTAATCTCAATGCATACAATCATGAAAACAATTATCGTATGAAAGGTTAATTCGCGTCGTAGGTTGATATATAGTACAAACTGCTACACAAACAATGAAGTAACGCATTGAAATTTCTGTTACATTATCGATATCATTTGAAACATTATTTTCGTATTTTATATATTTCCGAAGCAAACACTATTAGCATTTTTTAGCCGTAACTTTCTACGAAATCCAAAATTGTTAACATTTTCATATATACCAAGAAATAATTTCCGAGGTAAAAAGATTTATATTTATATAGTTTTAACCACCGTATAGTATTATCTGTCCAATTTTAATAAATCACTACATATTCCAATCAATGATTATTATAAAATATATGTATTATATTAAAAACAGTATATCGATAAAATCAGCATTCCGATTTGTACACCACTAAATGACGAGTAACGAAATTGTAAGAAATTATTATTTATATATGTAAGTACATTAAATCAAAAATATATGGTACTAGCGACTCAACCTCGCTCCGCTCGCGTTCGTCCCTAGTTAAGTTTTAACGTTTAGTATAAACTCAGAGATAATATGTCTTCCCGCAGTAAAAGTATCCTATATATTAACCCGGATAACCAGCTATCATTATACTTAATTTCATTAAAATCTGTCCAGTGGTTTTCTGGTGATGCGTTCACAGAGACAGACAGACAATAAGTAATTCTGAAAACTATATATTCGGTCTCTGTATCGACACTAGTGACTATTTCAATAAGATCATCAATACAAAAATTTAATGTAGAGGTTAAACTCAGAATTTTATTATATGTGTAGTCTCCTTAATCTGTGATCATATGTAATGAGAATCTGACAACTGTGTCTGTTTGTCAGTTTACAATTAATTTCTATTAATTTCTTAGAAATTTACCTGGAGGACCATTATATTATCTCTTTCTCTCTTTTATGTTCCTATGTCCCCTAGGTGAGGCAGAGGGCGTCCACAGTGCATCGCCATCCCGTTCGGTCTTGAGCTAGGCGTTTCATTTCGCTCCAGGTTTTCCCGATGGCCTTCGCTTCGCCAATGACTGTCCGCCGCCAGGTTTGTTTAGGACGGCCGCGTATGCGTTTTCCTTGGGGATTCCAGTCTAGGGCTTGCCTCGGTATATGGTTTGGATCCCTTCGGAGAGTGTGACCTATCCAGCGCCATTTACGGCGTTTGGTCTGCTGAGTGATCGGGACTTCATTGCAGTGTTCCCAAAGTTGCTCGTTGGAAATTTTGACGGGCCAGTAAATACCGAGAATTTTGCGAAGGCATCGGTTCACGAAGACTTGGAGTTGCTGCGAGATGTTCTTAGTGACCTTCCACGTCTCACACCCGTATAAGAGTACGGTCTTGACGTTGGACTGGAAGATTTTGAGCTTGATTCTCCGAGTCAATTTCCGTGATTGCCATACGGGCCGAAGCTGTGCGAAGGTTGCTCGCGCTTTGGCAATTCTCGAAGCGATGTCCTCCTCGGTTCCTCCCGCTTCTGACACGCAACTCCCGAGGTATGTGAATTTGTGGACGCGTTCCACTACCTCTGTGCCGATGACCAACGGGGATGTACTCGTTGTTCTGCACCTCATCTCCTGGGTCTTCCTTGCATTAATTTTGAGCCCTGTATTTGCTGCCTCCTTTCGTAGGTCGTCCAATTTGGTCTGCATGTCTGCGCGAGTGTGACTTAAGAGGCATATGTCATCTGCATAGTCCAAATCTTCTAGGGTGTTGGTTATGCCCCATTCTATACCGCGGCGCTTGTTTTCCGTGGTGCTATGCAGAATGCCATCAAGGACGACAAGGAAGAGAAGTGGCGAAAGTAGACACCCCTGTTTTACGCCTGCATGTACCGCTATGTCCTCCGAGACGAGCCCATTATGCGTCACTTTGCATGAGTAATTCTTGTATAAAGCTCGTGTGATGTTGATTATTTTCTCGGGGACACCAATTTTGCGTAGTCGGGACCAGATGCTGGCCCACCTCACCGTATCAAAGGCCTTTTCAAAGTCTACAAAAGTAAGATATATCTCCCTTTGCCATTCTGTTGCCTCTTCCAGTATGATGCGAAGGGGGTTGATCTGGTCTGTACACGATCGATTGGGTCGGAATCCTGCTTGCTCTCTGCGTATGAGAGGATCTACGGCCTTCGATAGCCTATCCAGAATGACTTTGCAGAGCACCTTAGACGGGATCGAAAGCAAAGTAATACCTCTCCAGTTACTGCATTGACTGAGGTCTCCCTTTTTTGGCACGGTGATAAGCAGGCCTTTGTTCCAATCGTCTGGTAGCTCTTCTTTCTGCCAAATGTGCTGTAGTAGAGGTGTCAGGGCGTTTGCAGCTGTAGCAATGTCTACTTTCAGCATCTCGGCAGTGATTAGGTCGATTCCTGGGGCCTTTCCATTTTTGAGCGAGCGAATGGCGTGAATTACTTCACCTCCAGTCGGTGGGGAACAGTCAATGTTTAGGCTTTGCAGAGGCAAATTGTCTTCGGGCATAGCATTAACAGGGTCGTTTGTAACATGGAAGATTTCCTCGAAGTGTTCTTGGCAGCGTCGCAGTTGTCCTTCCGATGTCGCAATAAGTTGGCCCTCCTTGTTCTTCAATGGCTTCTTCCTCGCACTTCGTTTTCCTGTCAGAACCCTCGTGGCTTTGTACATCTCCTTCAGATTGCCGACATCCGCTGCTCTTTGAGCTCCATCAGCAATTCCATCAGTCCACACTCTTCTATCTCGACGGGTGCTGCGATAGATACTCTTGCGGATTTGCCGGTATTGCAGTTTGAGATCTTCCTGCACATTTTCGTCACTCGGGGTAATAAGTTTTAGGTGGAGTTCTCGTCGTTGCGCAATGAGATCCCAAGTTTTTTGCGACATCCACTCTTCTATTGCGAGTGTTTTATGTCCGAGAACGACGGAGCTGGTCTCTGTATAAACCATTTTGATGCGATTCCACTCCGCGTCGACTGTTGTGGGGTTCGTATCGAGAACAGAGAATCTATTTTGGAGCTCCAGTTTAAAAGTGTCGCTGATATCTGGGTTCATCAGTTTGCTGCCATCAAAACGTCGGCTTGTCTTTACCGTGTCGATTTTCGCACGGGATGCCGATACTTTCAGTCGCACTTCTGCAACTAAAAGGTGGTGGTCGCTATCGATATCAGCGCCTCTGTGGTTTCGTACATCTAGCAATGACGTCCGCCATTTAGAACTGATGGTCAGGTGATCGATTTGGTTCTTGGTAATGCCGTCGGGTGAGTTCCATGTGTACTTGTGGTGATCTCCATGTATGAATAAAGTTCCTCCGATGGTTAGGTCATTATTCTGGCAAAATTCCAAGAAACGTTCTCCATTCTCGTTGCGTACTCCTAGCCCATACTTGCCCATATGTCTCTCACAGACAGCGTTGTCTGTACCAACCTTTGCATTTAAATCACCCATGACGAAGACTATGTCCTGTCTGCGGATGTTCTTGAGTGTGGCGTTCAAAGTACTATAGAAATCGTCTTTAAGCTCATCGCTTGCGCTGTTTTTTGATTGGACGACGCTGATTTTCCGGGCTCTGCTGTGGAAACGGGCTGTGATGATTCGATCTGAGATCGGTTTCCAGTCCAAAAGACCTTTTTTCGCTACGTCCGACAGGAGAAGTCCCACGCCGTGTTCTCGGGTGTCGTCTTCATTCTCCTTACCGGAATAGAGCAGTGTGAGTCCTTTCGACGTTCTCAGTTCCCCGAATCCATTCCTACGAACTTCACTGAGGCCGAGTATTTGCAGTCTGTATCGTAGCATTTCTGTTTCTGCTTGGGCTAGTCGGCTATCGTCACTCAGCGTTCGCACATTCCAGCAAGCAATTCGTGTCCGAGTTTTCATGCCAAAAGTCGTCGGTTTAAGATCGGTCCGGTTTTGCACTATTTTCGTTTCAACAATCTCATTAATTTCAGGTAAACGAGTGATTAGCCCACTATACCCTAGCCCGTAGGTGGGGGTGCCACCTCGGAGCCAACGGGCAGGCTCGGTTTTATTCGGGTATCCTCCCTAGTGAGTAAATTCTGTTATAAGGCGCAGAATGATCGCCTTTCGCCCTGCATCCTCTGCTCATCTGCATCCCAAAGGTGGCGGTCACGCGACGGCGCGGGTGCAGTAGTCTCCAGGGGGACGAGCGGGGACGTGGATGACGCGGACTGGCTAGGGCTCTGCTTTAAGACGGTGTTCCGCCACGAACACAGCAGCCGGTTTCTTGGCATTTTGTAGGCAATGCTGTTCTCACTATCAGCGATTCCCACCAAGACCATACCCTAGCATTCCCATTATATTATAGTTGATTTTAAATTGACATTCTAACTAATAATTCATATATTTTAAAATTAACAAAGTTCTTTAAGAAAATCAAAAAAATCATTCTGAAGATTATTCCTGCTAATGTCATCATTCCACATCAAAATGAAACAATATGGCAAAGTTGCGGAAAACTAAGAGTAGAACACGACTGGCATGAGGCATCAACGAAACGTTGTTCTGCCTGATTTTGCCATAGTCCCTAGTTCCCTGTGATTCTATATTACCTGTAAATAAAGCAAGTTCATTAAATATTTTTATTATATGGCAGCTTTTTACAAATTTTTGACAGCAATTTTTAATAGGTCATCTGAGATTATTACGTAATAATGATATGAGATTTGACATTGACAGGTGACATTAACCAAATTCTCCGTGCGTTGCCATTAGCAAGAGAATTGAATTGAATATATGTATTATGTAGCAATATACTCTATGGTGCGCTTCGCACGTCCACAATTACACACGGAGTACCTAGGTAACCAAAAATTAAAAAATATTTACAATAATTTAATATAACAAAATTACATAAATATTTTAATCATTGAATGGTTTATGTTTTGTGATATTTTATATAAAATTTAAAGGAGATGCCGACAATATCAGTTAAACGCGATTTACTTTTCGCTGCATTAGGAAAAACGTACAGTAAGTACTTACTACATTTTATGAAATTTAAGTAAACAAAATCATATAAAATATTTACAATATTTTGTACATAATACGGTTAGAATAAACTTTATTTACTTATATGTTTTTTTAGGTGATGAAGAATTCCAAAATCTCTGTTTTGAATTTGGTCTAGAATTAGATGAAGTGGTATGTACACAATTTAGTTTTGTATTTCTTATGAAATCGAGTCTCATTATATTTTATCTTATGCACATAATTATAATTATTCTAGACCACTGAAAAGCAGATGTTAATTAAAGAGCAAGGAGACCAAGCTGGTACTGGAGTATCAGAGGATATATTATATCGTATTGACATTCCTGCAAACAGATATGATCTACTTTGCCTTGAGGGACTAGTAAATGGGATATTAGTTTTTCAGGGAAAGTAAGTTATAATTTATTAATTAATAGGCTGAGGCTATTAGTACACAAGCGGGTCCCTAGTGTGACTCGTAAATTTAGATAATTTGGAGTAGAAAATCTAGTGAGAATGTAATATTATATGATTTTTGAGCTTGTGGACATGTGGCATTATGGTCACTGTTCTAACCTAACTTAGAAAGAGATAATTTATCTTGAAAAGTATTCCTGCTGAATTCACGGTGGAGACATGATTGTGTATGAATAGCCTTAATCGAATTAATAATAAATTAGCCCTTTGAATGTTCCACTGCTTGGCATAAGTTTTAATGTGAATATTAGAGCATCACTCACCATATTGCAGTTATTAAAAGCTAGTTTCACTTCAATATTTTAATTTACCATTAATAAAAATCATATTCACATTACAAGTGAGATAAGCAAAATTGATAGGTATATGAGATGATTGATGGGTATATGAGATGAAAAATCAATTTCAGATAATGAATTTAATATATATAAAATAGTTAGATTCGCTTTCTTTAAATTTACGTTATTCCATATATTGATTATTGGATATTATTAAAAATGCCTTTTCAGAAAATCTCCCCCAATTTACAACCTTAAAAAGTATGAAGATTGTTATTCACTTCATCTAACACCTGCAACTGCCCAAATAAGACCTTATGCTGTAGCAGCTGTACTCAAAGGTATTTCTTTTACTAAGGAGAGCTATGAAAGCTTCATTGACTTACAGGTACATATATTTTAAGTGTTTATTAATTTTGTAATATGTATATAATATTGCTTAAAACAAGGTAAGGTTATCATTTTATCAGTAATTGCATAAGATGTACTTTTACTATACTTTAAGTTAGTTGTATATAATTTTTTGAGTTATTTTTTGTAAACTCGGTGAAGAATTTTAAAAACTTCGATCTTCTTAATTATATTATAATAATAAGTTTATATCAACTAATATTGTTAATATACTATACCTGCACTGAACTGAATTAACTAATTTTCTTATTTCTGAAGGATTTCTGGAAGAAATCTCTTAAAGAGATAAGCTGTTATCTTTTGTCCATATACTTTTCCTTTATTTTGTAAAACTTTTTTTTTTACATGAATAAATAAAAAAGAAACAAAAAAGAAAAAAAAGGTATGATTTAGTATCTTTTTGAGGGTTTATTTTGATTTATTTGGCTTCTGACGTTTGCCTTACAGTCAAATTATGACTGCAAAAAAATCCAAAAAGATAATTTTATCATATCACAATCTAAGAAACTATTAGGTGCAAAATTGTTTTTTTTTTTAAATTAACTTAAATTAATTATTGTCCTTTCTTAAAAAGACTATTTATATTTAATAAAATAGTTGTAAATTATTAAAAGTATTGTCCAAATATAATGATATTGCAGGATAAACTACATCAGAATATCTGCAGGAAGAGAACTCTAGTAGCTATTGGAACTCATGATCTCGATACAATTCAAGGCCCCTTTGTTTATGATGCCTTACCCCCAAATGAAATAAAGTTTAAACCCCTGAATCAAAGTAAAGAGATGACAGCTTCTGAATTAATGGAGTTGTATTCTGTAAGTTCATTATGAATAGTTAATGCTTATAAATGTTTCGTTTTAAATATTTTATTTTGCTATTATGAATAATTATATGTATATTTAGATTTTTTAGTAAATTTTATTATATTTGTCGCTAAATAATATTATTCTTAAAAATATAATAATTATAATGTTTTAAAAAATACGAGATTGTATATTTTTTTATACAATTTATTTTGTATTATGTTTAAAAACACTTAACAATTTAACCAACAACAAATTGAACAATTAACAATTTTATTTTGTGAATTTCAGACTCATGCACAACTGAAGCAGTATCTTAGTATTATCAAAGATAGCCCAGTGTATCCAGTTATAAAGGATAAAAATGGTGTGGTTTTATCTATGCCACCAATTATTAATGGGGACCATTCAAAAATTACACTAGACACCAAAAACGTTTTCATTGAATGTACAGCTACTGACCTGACCAAGGTAAAAACAATTTATGCTTCCTCTACATTTTTATTTTTTTATACATCACAATTTAAGAAACCCCTGATTCATTATTTTCCACTTCCTAATAAGGAGAAGACAGATGTGAGAAAACATCCTTGTCTAAGAGAACCTATTTTTCAAGAAAAATATGAAGTCCCTCTATTTAGGGCGATGGTCTTTGCCCTGATCCACCTCGCATTGCTTCAAAGTCAGAGCTCTGCTGTGTGCAGTTAAAATTTCAATCTCGCCCACTTCTGACACACTTTTTTAAACCCTACAATGTTCTAATATATTGTTTCCATAAAACTCTTAATATTTAGCCAGCGTTATTTAAAAAAAAGTATGAAAACACTTTTTTTGAAGAAGAAGACTAACTTACACTTACTTGTTTAGAATTTTGTAATAAATATTACTATATACATTTTTATTAACACCTCCAGGTAAATTACTAATAAAATTAATTAAATTTCTAAGAAATCTATTGTTAACTGTAACGTGTCCGCGGTCGTGGAGGGATTAATTCTTTATTAAATTTCTAGGCTATAGTAGTTCTGGATACCATAGTGTGTATGTTTTCTGAATACTGCACAAACCAGTATGAGGTGCAACAGTGCAAAGTGTTTGCGCCAGAAGGCACATATGAGCTATACCCACAACTGGAATATAGAGAAGAGTTAATCAGTGTTGATGATGCTAACGAATATATTGGAATTAGGTAAGTTATCTATTTATATAATTATGTAAAAATGAAATATTTTTATTTTAAAATGAAATATTTATAATATTGGTATCACTTAAGAAAGGCGGGACTTTGGCTAATTATATTAAAATGTGCATAAAAGTTTTCTATGAGATTTTTCTAGGAAACTAATGGTCAAAAACAAAATTGAAATTTAGACCATATAATGTTTGTTGGCTCAACTGTCTAGATTGATAAATAAGATGTTTCGGTTTCACAATTTCAAATTGTACTCTCTTTTTAAGGATCTTAAGCGCTCTCAAAAAAGAGCGCACTTGTATATTAATGGTTATATGACTATCTTTAGCTTAAATCTCCCACATACTTTAGACTAAATAAGATACATAACCATATTAATTGTACGAGAATATAGGATACGATTCTACTGCAATGTCCACAGTATTCTGGCCGTAATAGCGGTATAACGAAACTCTCAACCATTTGCGCCTTATAATTCGCATACTACAACTTGAACTTTAACTGCTTCTTTGGACTAGTGACTAGCATGTATCGCTTCTGATTCGGCCCTAAGTTCGAGTCCCAAGTATAGCCAATGGTTATTGGCTTTTTAGTTTTTGTAGTTATGGGTTTTTCTTACTAAGCCGTGCCCGTGCAATGCAAGTACACGTCGATTTTACGCCTGATCTCTTCAGTCATTTAATGGCAACCTAAATTGGGAGATTTGAATATTCTTAAGATTCCGTACCTCAAAAGGTAAAAAAAGAACTCTTATAAGATCACTCTTTTGTCAATCTGTCCGTCTGTCTGTCCGTGCGTCACCACCGATTTTCTCAGGAACGGGTGAACCTAGCAAGTTGAAATTTATAGCAGATACTGAGGCATTGTCCCTATTAGATGTATAAAAATAAAGGTCCTGAGTCTACACGATAAAAAGATAATACGGGCAAATTTAGATTTTCGCGAAAACTTGTAAGTACCAAAATTTACCTTAATTTTGCAATTTTTTTATTTATTTCACAAAACAATCTATTCCCAGCGAAGATGGTGACCATATAGCGCAACTTTTGTCCCGTATGTGTTTGTCGAGCTCACACTCCCAGGGCGCGGTGCGCGTGCGCGTGCCGCCCTCGCGCCACGACGTCATACACGCCTGCGACCTGTACGAGGACATCGCCATTGCTTATGGGTGAGATGTGATTTGATAAACTACTTACACTTAGTAAAGCGGGATATTTTTACGCGAGTATCATTTCCAACGTGATTACCACTTGCTTTAACCGTGAAGGAAAGCATCGCGAGGAAACCTACATGTCTGAGAGAACCTAGCAAGTTTTCCAAAGACGTGTGCAGTCCGCTCGCACTCGGTCAGCGTGGTCGACTGTAGATTGATCCCTCTCGTATTAAAGGGCCGTGCCCAACAGTTGGACATAAAAAATATAAACAAACAACTAAGAAAAGTTAGGTCAGCTTTCTTGGTAGTTGACCTTTGATTAATTGACATTTGACTTCACATTTGAAATTGTCCATTTTTATGATGAATAATGAGTGAAAACAGACATTTTATTATTGTCAAGTAAATATTTACTATGCTTAATTTTTTTATTTAAGACTTATGACATGTAAGTTTTCAAATTAAATATAACAAATCATTATTATCGAGTAAGATAACAATACTTTCATATGATAAATTTTGCTTTGTATCATGTTAATGTTATAGAGACTTAAGAATGCTCATTAATTATGTGTTAATACTTTATGACTTGTCTATCATGTCTAAAATTTAGAACTTTGTTTGTAGTTGTGTATCAAATTTCATCAAATTTCGTCCAGCCGTTAAGGAGTAACTGACACACACACGCACACGCGCACATGCACACACAAAATACACGACACAACTATAACACAACATACGAAAACTTTAGAAATTATAAAATTAGTATAGTCTCTACATATAATAGTTTAATGACTAGGCGCCTGACTGTCATACATACATAGTTTTAACAACAAACAAACATACTCGCACACACATACACACATTATCGTATTTACAACAATAGCCCGATGTCCCCAGCTACAACCGCATCGCGCGGCGGCCCTGCCACGTGCCGGCGGCCGGCGCGCAGGAGCCGCTCAACAAGCTGACGGAGCAGTTCCGGCAGGAGTGCGCGCACGCCGGCTACACTGAGACACTCACTTTTACACTTGTAAGTACAGATATCTATATATGTATATGCCACTCTCTTAACGACCTACTTCAAGATCTGGTCTAGAAGCATGAAGCTTTGTACAAGAGTTTATATTTAAAAAAAGAAGAGTAAATATTTACTATATTTTATATTACCTTCATCGTTATAATTCATTTGTGTTAAAACTTATCGTAAATTTAATGTTTCATGCTATGGAACCCCTTAGTATGCGAGTCATACTTGCACTTGCCAGATTTTTTGTTATTTCTATTATAATTCTATCAGGCCATTAAATTGTCAACTTCTATATGCAGTGTTCAAAAGAAGACATATCGACCAAGCTAGGCCGCAGTATCGAAGAGTTGCCGGCGGTGCACATAAGCAACCCCAAGACCCTGGAGTTCCAGGTGGTGCGCACCACACTGCTGCCCGGACTGCTCAAAACCCTCGCCTCCAACAAGAAGATGCCCCTACCATTGAAGTTGTTCGAAATCAGCGATGTTGTATTGAAAGATGAGACGGCAGGTGTGATAAATTGATTGTTTATATACTTTTATTTACTTTATTTAAGTTGCTACTCACCCTCGCTTCGTTTGGGTTCGTCCCTAGGTTGCTTCCCCATATAAACTTTCATCCCCATTTTTACCCTCTTAAGGGACGATTTCCGCGATAAAAAAAAATCCTATGTTCTTCCCAGGGTCTCAAACTATCTTCTTACCAAATTTCATCTAAATCGGTTCAGTAGTTTTGGAGCCTATTCAGTACAAACAAACAAATCTTTCTTATTTATAATATTAGTATAGAGGTTCTGTAACGAGGTCACGTAAGTTATTGTGATTCTTTTAATCAGTGGCACATTATGTAAATTGAAAATAAGGTTAAAAGCTTGATTAAAATATTCATAGAAACTAACAGACCATGTTTGTTGTACAGCATTTGAATTGTCAAAGATTAAAAAGTAAAATAAAAAAATCGAAAAATAACACATTCGAAAAATTAATTTGTTTATTAATTAATTATGTCAAATAATACAATAAATAATAACAATGTCAAATATTCCCGTTAATCTAAAAAAGTATTGTAGAAAACATAATACTGTGTCATGAACGAATTAACCACTGGACCAGACATATAAGCGGACGTACCTTTATCGGTCTTCTCAGTAACCAGGAGATTTTAGACTTGGTCGTTTGTTTTTTGCGTCAGTCTCAAGCACTTATTTGTCAACAAAACATCTCCCAAAAATGACTAAATGTTCTGTTAAATGATGTAAAAACTATAACGGCGGAAGCAGCACTATTTCTTTTCACTTGTAAATACATTATTTTATTACATTTATTGTTATTTATCACACAATTTAATTAAATGTAAAATAAAATGTCATATTATCCAACTATGTTAAATATAGTCGATATTTCTATGTATTGTTGACATTTGACAACCATCATAACATGGCTGGATTATACCATTCAGAACAAATGACAAAACTGTCGAGTGAGTCCATTTGACATCGACTAGTGCTTGACAATGTCGAAAAATATATCGATATTTGACGAAATAACTAAACGAATTGTGTTATTTGTACAGTACAATAACATAAAATACTTTTACCACAGTATCCTACAATCTGATGACAATAAATTTATAAAAATATTTTCTAAATCAAATAAAAATATAAATGCAAAAATTATAATTAGTATGTGTACTTAATTTTTTTTTATTTTATTCCACATTTATATACTTTGGAATATTATTCCATTGTAATAATAATAAAGATCATTTTATTTCAACACATAAATTACACAAAATCAAACAATAATGTTTTAGCACTAAACTTCTGGGTTGGCGATTTGTAATAAAACACTTTACCACTTGCACTAATTATTTTACTTTCACGATCCAACACTCACTTTAATTTGCAATCACTTTTTCTTTTTCCTAATTTCACAAATGTTTATTAAGAACTGAGCAATATTAGGACAGTGTCACATTTTTATAACTACCCGAGACAATCAATTGCCAATTAAAATAGTTCAATAACAGAATCAACAAAATCAATTTATTTAATTAAATTAGCTTCATATTTTTTTTTATCTTTACAAAACAATATTTATTATATATTAATGGAATATACACCCGATATTCATTTGTTTATTAACATTATTATAGGCCAACAGATCAATCAATGCCATCAATGCCATCGTATTTATATAAATCAAATTAAAAAATAATTATTATTTGACACATTATTATTGCCTCTTTAATTCATTTATTTTAATTTATTATAATAAATATAGATATTTTAAATTAAAAGATGTAAAATATGATGACTATGCTAACCAATGTCTAAAATGTCATTCATTGGTTCATCGATATATGTATTTTATCGATTACGTTCAAGCACTAGAAATATTGTATTGTGTATCAGTGTTTATAATAATGTAATAAAATCTTTGTGTGCGTTATGCGTCACTTGGTTGAACTAGTTTTCATACATTTGTATTTTATGTCAGGTCCAGTCTCTAATTCGTCCATGTACTGTGTCTACCCACAAAATTACGACATGAATTAAAAAAAAAAAACAAAAATGGCATCAAAGTAAATTACAATAAATAGGGTGGAGGATGTAATACAAAAAAGTAACATGTTATTTTCACAACTTTTAAAAAAATTGCAATAATGCAATATTACAGTGAAAGTTGGGTAGAAAATAACTAAATTCGTCAATTCTTGAATGTTTTCAAAGATGATCCAGTCGAAAAAAAAATCCATTCAAACCAAACATTTTCTAATAAAACGACCGCGTTGAGATACAAAAGTACTATAATCTAACAAAGACATGACCACAGATCATATAATACTATACTACACAGATAATTTAGCAAATATTACAATTTAGAACATATGAAAGCAGAGGTCACTGCTTTGTATATAAAAAGATTATTTTAGATCTATTTCAACACATTTAAATTAAATATTAATTTAAAAAATCAGTAGGCCACCACAAAATGTGTAGTAAAAATTTTAATTTTATTTTTTCTCAAAAAAAATTTTTTTTTTATAAGCTATAAATTCTACCACCACGTTTAGAAAAAAAAATATTTTTTCGCTTCACCCTACCTTACAACATTTGTTAATTTTAATTTTAAACATATATTATAATTTTAATAAATTATAATATATGTTCAAGGGTCTCGTAAATCCAGGAAGGTGTATGTATTCTGCAATTTGACGACACGTTTGGCTCAGTTTGTAGTGACCTTATTTGCTGTGCCAGCGGTTGCAGGTTCGAGTCCCGCTGGGGGCACTCATTTGTGTGATGTGCACAAATGCTTGTACTCCAGTCATGGATGTTTATATTTATAATATGTATGTATTCAATGTTATATATGTCTAGTGTATCAACTATCCATAACACAATCCTCACAGCTTACCATGGAACAAGATGGTGCTGTGTGTGTTAATGTTCCAACATATTTATTTACTAGCGACTCACCCTCGCTTCGCTCGGGTCCGTCCCTGGGTACGTTTTAATTTTTTTGAGCGGAACCCTAATTATTTTTCTTAAATAAAAGTAGCCTATGTTACTCCCTATAACATCAGCTAGTGAAAGTCCCGTCAATATTAGTCCAGCCGTTTCAGAGATTATCCGGAACAACCAGACAGACAATATAAAAAAAAAATATTTTTCTTATAAATACCGTATATAATTAATTTAATATTATGCATTTAGTAAAAAGCTGTTATTTTGATATTACAAACAGACACTCCAATTTTATTTATCTGTATAGATTTATTTAATGTATCGTGACAGAGACGGGCGCGCGCAACGTGCGCCGGCTGTGCGCTGCGTACTGCGGGCGCGCGGCCGGCTTCCAGCACGTGCATGGCCTGCTCGACCGCGTCATGGCCATGCTGCGGCAGCCCTGGCATGTGGACACCGGGTATTTTTTAAAGCAGTGCGAAGGTATTATTATCATATTCTTTATTAGCACAATCCGCGGCTACGACCGTATTCAATCTACAAAAAAAAAAACTTTTTGGTTATATGTCATACAGTATTTATATGATATTGTTTATACAAAAATACTAAAATCGCAATTTAAAATGGGGGTCGAAACTACTGAACATATTTAGATGAAATTTGGTAAGAAAATAGTTTGAGATCCTGGGAAGGAGTTTTTATCCCGCAAATCATCCCTTAAGGCGGGGATTATAAATGGGGATGAAAGCTTGTATGGGGAATCATCCTAGAGACGAACCCGAGCGAAGCTAAGGTGAGTCGCTAGTCGATTATAAATTCGAAAGTGTGCGAATCAATATACGTCTTTATCACTCTCCACACCGTAACTCAGCAGTTTTAAGTGCCATTCGTAATCAAGATAGCTTTAGTCTTCAATTAACACAGTCTATTTTTAATCGACATACCTAAGATGAAAACGATGCGCGGGAAGAATCTAATACAACATGAATTCAACACTAACTTGTGGTCTAGAATGCTCTAAACATAATCGATGTTTTATGAGATCGCAATTCGTATTTTATAAACAAGATATTGATATGTATGTAGACGGTATATTTTTTACTAATAAAATATAAAATACCCATTAAAATATTCTAGCTAGTTACCAAATATGCGCTCTCAAATAGAAAGTTAAACAATTTCAATATTTATTGTTTTGAGCTGGCAGCTGGCGGCTGGTAGACCTGGCCACGCGTTGCGCACATACGAAAATCGTTAATTTTGCAATCAAGAAAGGAAATAATCGGGATAAAAACTATGTTATCTGTTAAGTTGGAATAAGTCACATACATATTTTGAAAAAAAAATACGTTAAGATCGTTGAAGTAGTTTTGGAGTTCATCGCGGACCAACATCGTGACTCGGGAATTTTATATATTACTCGACTATATATAGCGACTCACCCTCGCTCCGCTTGGATTCGTCCCTAGTATGTTTTAACGTTTAGTATAAATTTTTCAGAGATGAGATATTTTCCCGCAGTAAAAAATATCCTATATTTTGACCCGGATAACCAGCTATCATCATACCAAGTTTCATCAATATCTATCCAGTTATTTTCTCATGATGCATTCCCAGACAGACAAAAATACTAATAACTACAGATTCGGCCTCTGTATCGATAATAATGACTATTTCAATGAGATTTTCTAAAACATATTTAATGTACAGGTTTGACTCAGAATTTTATTATAATAATGTTTATAAAATTAACCACAAGTTGTTGCTATTCGTCTAATAATATTCACACTGATTAGCGTCCACAAAGAGTAGTCACAAGCTAGCAATATTAATATAAGTAAAATGAACAATATGAACTTTATTTCAGACCCAGCATATTTCCCAGGCCGATGCGCAGACATAATTCTTCGGGGTAAAGTCATCGGAAAAATCGGAGTTCTCCATCCTAATGTCTTAACTGCTTTCGAATTAACTAACCCCTGCTCTGCTGTAGAATTCGATTTTGAACTATTTTTAAATGACAATTAAATGTATAATTGACCTAATTTAGACAAAGTTAATAAACCAGGTCATTATGTTATTGGATAAGTGTTACTTTGTTTTGATAGCGTTAATCCAATATGTTTATATATTTATAGAAAAATAAACATACGATAAATATTGGAAAAATTTTGTTTTTATTAATTTTTCAAATTAGTTTCGGTTACCGTTATGGAGGGTAGAAGTAGAACTATCTCTTGTATAAAGTGACCGCTGACAAACATCAAATTGGTGGCGCCACAGAAATCAAGTAATGAATTTAAAACATAGCACCACCAAAAGCCATAAGGGTAAGATGGTGAATTAAACAAGATTTCTGCTTTGTTGTAAAATAGTTTTAACATAGGCAAACGCCGATATAGAAGACAATTACTTATTATTTTCAAGTACTAATAATTCACCACACTTCACTCCGTTTCAAACTGCTAACTTCACAATTCACATCTACTTGCTACGCTAGCGCTAAATGAGTGAGTTTCTGAATTACAATTTGCTGCTCAATACTGGACATTTTTTCAACTTGTTTCCCATATAAGTCGGTTCTTCTTACTTCTACCCCCTATAGTTACCATGAAGGATAAGAAAGCATAAGAAAAAAAATATCGTTGACATTTCAATTTATTGTGTCACATTGTAATCAACAACACAACAAAATAATTTTAAATACATTTTATACACACACAATAAGTAGACACTAAATTTCAGTTAAAACAAGACGATTTAATTAAATCACATTGTATATACAAATTATAATTTATAAAACACTTAGTAATATAATGATGCGTGAATTAAAATTCTGAGGTCAACTCGTAAAAGCGCGGCATACTAAGTATTTTCCGGTGTCATATATTGAGTCGTGCTATAAAAAAAGAATAGGTTATAGATACTAGATATAAAATTTATCATTTATTACTGAGCAAACGAAAAATTCGAGGAAGTTTAAAAGATATAAAAATCGCACATGAGAATTTAACTATAATATTTCGATCATTGCCTGAAAAAATTGTCACTCAATGATAACTTTGATCGACAATATGTAGGAAAATCTCATACATTTTTTTGTTATAAAAATACAATATTTCCTTTAGCCTAACATTTATAACTAATCATTTGCAGAAAATATGTAGAGATTACAATATGCATATAAATAACATATATTATTAACCTTTATAAGGCACATGAATTTCAATTGACTGTTTTATCATAGAATTATGGAGAAGCCAAATAATGCATTGTAAAAACCAAGGACCTATTTCGTTCTAAAAATATTTCTCATTAGATATTAACAGTTTATTAAAAATAGAAGGCAATAAAATTAAAATAACTTCAAAAATAATACTATTGTTATATTAAGTGTACAAAAGTTATTTAATAATTTTTGTATGAATTGAAATATTTTTTCACTTTGCATTAGAATTATCTGGCTTCTAAATATTCCTATGAGGTGGTTTCATTTTCATACACTTTAAATATAATGTTCCCAATTTATTAAATATGTAATGACCAATCAATTTAATTGATACTAATAACTTATAAAGTTACCAATATATTAACTAATACTTCACAATTTTTCAATACTGAACCATTTTATTATGTCCTGATGATTTTATTTATTTACAGAATTTGGATACCACATACATACACTTAATAAATACTTATTTATTTATCTTAATATATTACTATTTTATAACATATGCATAAATATTGCACAATTCAACATTCATAGTATCATAATAAATTTCATTAAAAAATAATTATACTACTGTATGATTTTATGTTATCAATTAATTATACACAAAACATGATACCACACTAAAAATATATTGAAAAAATGTAAAAATTCTTAGTGTTGGATAAAAATATAATAAATCCTACATTTAATAATAGTCAAATATTCATGTAGTATTTTTTCATTTTATAAGAAAATTTTATAATTTTCTTATAAAATTAAGGATCCAATAATGTTTTTAAAATCTGTACAGGATTTTTGTCTAAATACTGTTGAGTATGACAATGTATTATTCAATACTGTTTTAGTTTTTTTAATCAATAAATTAAATACTTATAGGTATTTCTGTTACATCATAATATGCAGTAATCAAAAAAGGGTTCTAAAAGTTCAAATGCATAATACCCAATTCCTATTAATAGACATGTATTGGTAAAAGAGGGACGGATATCAAAGCTGCTTTATTAAAAATACAACCATTAGATTTAGTCGAGTAATAATTCTATTTTAAACATTTTCTGTAACTCTGCTCTTTTGAAATCTGGAGATATTATGAAAGGACACAAATAGAATGAGAGTTCTTTCAGGTTTGGGGCACTGGTTTTAATCACTTTTGCCACCTGCATAGTGACATGAAGGCATCTCGAGAGACTTAAGTAAGTCAAATGTTGGAATATATTATTTGAAAAATATGCTAGTAAGGCATTTGTTGAAAAATACCCATGCCGCAATTTTAAAGACCTTAAATTTTTTAATCTGTAAAAGTGATGTAAACTAGAATCAAAGAGAGTTTTACAGGTCATGATATGCAGTACTTGTAGACCCTTACATTTAGATATAGAGGATATGATATCATCATTCAATGTATCACCATAGATATGCAAAGCCCTTAATGTATTTTGTTTTGTTCTTAGGAGTGATTCAAGAAAGTCTGCTGGGATATTCTTCATCTTCTCCATATTAATACTAACTAAATTAACACACTGCAACATACTATACAAACTGCCATGAGTCAATGCAAAATTAGACAATATAAGAGTTTCTAAATATTTTAACTTTTCAAATGGCAAGTGATAAACAAAATTTCCATTTGCATTTTCGGCATTTTGGACTATTAAAGAATTGCGGAAGCTTAGGAATTTCAAATTAGGCCAATGACCTAAATCATCAAAAATACAACTATCCACTTGTGATATACTTATTTCTAGATGAGTCAAATTTGGGCAGTAGCTAATGAGGGAAGCTCTGACTTGTGAATATAATTTAAAATATTGTAATTTAACATTTTTTAAATATTTTGCCACAAACGGCACAATACTATCTCTTATTCTCACATAATTTTTCATACATACTATAAGGCGAGTTTTATCCCAGATACATGGTGTCATGCAGAGTTGTTGCCATCTTATAGATACTTTAGCCACTGCTAGCAGTGATTCAAAGTCAACCATAGAAAATATATATATTAGTAATTCATTTGGCAAATCATTTATAGTAAGCGCGTGAGAATATTGTTGCACACCTGTCATCTCGAGGTGCACCATTCTTAATCACAGAACCCCACCCTTTGGTAATACTGAAAATATATTAAAGCATTTGTTACGACATTAAGTAAATATCAGTACAAGAAATTACTAATTGAATAAAATAATATGTTTTAGAATTTAAGACGCACAGGTGCGCTAAGATTCGTAAATATTAAGAACCAAATTCTTGAACACAAAGTAATAACACAAGAAGTCCAATGTGATCATATTTAACTATGTTTAAATAATAAATATGAAGTGTACATCATACCTCGAAATTACTTTGCTTCCTATTCGAGAATATTTTACTGTTTGCTTTAATAAAATCATAATTTATGTAGCCTTTACTTTTAAAAGGGGTTTTACAATTTATAAGAATCCTTCAAGATGTATAGTTTTTCACGGTTTGTCAAATTTATCATTTTAAACAACAAAAGGTTGCATTAAACATTTTTTAAAAAGAAATATTAAAAATAACTTTCATCTTTGACTTGATTCTATTTTGGTATGACGTCTTACGATTAACTTTGACAAATAGATTTAACTTCACTTTGACAGATGCGTTTAGTTTTATCTAAGTAGATACCAAAAAACTAATATAAATTATTATCATTAAACAATATTAGGATTATAAAGAGGTCATATTTTATAATGATGCGATGTATCTATGAATACAAAGGATTTCCCTAAAAAAACTTAAAATTATAATGTGCACAACAATGTAGCGCTACGAGTAATATATTTTTATTTTTTAAATTTTGAAAGTGTTCGAAATGTTAGAAAATATTTTGTTATTCTCTACAAATACGTTAAATAATTTTATTAATAATATATTATGACGATTCAGTAAAATTAAAATACCATAATTATTAAAATTGATGAGACAAAAATTATTGAGCTTGTAACTTGCTTGTAACCAATAATTTTGTTTGCAATATTTTCACTTGATATATAAACAGAAAATAGGTGGATGTTACGTATAAAAAATATAACGCTGCGATAGCTCAAAATCGATAGAAATTTTAATAAATGAGTAGGGATATGCTTCTAACAATAAATATGAAAAATCCATCGTCAAAGTAAACGTTACTGATATTTCTAATATCATACGACGTAAAGAATAAATTACTGAAATAAAAAGAGAAATATACCTATAATAATTTCCTGTTAGAATTATTAAGAAATAATTAGGTAATAAAAAATAAACGCACGTAAAAACTTTTTAATTATTACATTCTTTTAAGAAATTTGCTAAACATAATTTGTTGGTATACACAAATTGCAGTAAATAAAAGTAGTTATTTTTTGTAAAGAATTTATAATCTTAACCTTTTTTTTTAAACAGCAATACTATTATTATAGTCTATTTATTTAAAAACCGGCGGTAAATATGACGATGCTGGTCTAGATACCGTTCCTTGGCTGACCGTGTTGGAAGTCATACTGGGAGGCAGGTAATCTTGCACTGGTTTATTTAATGTTACCGATACCTGGCCTTGATTGTTCTGAACATTATTTACTTGATTAGGCGCTAAGTAAGTAGAACTTGGTCTTGATGAGGTGATTGTTCTTTGCGCTTGAGTGTTCTGAACGTTTGTAATCTGAGATGCAGGTGCTAAATAAGTCGTTGTTGGTCTCGATGAAGTCACCGTTCTCTGTTGTTGGTTATTCTGGACATTAGTTGTTTGAGTATTAGGAGCTAAGTATCCAGAAATTGGCCTGGATGATGTTACAGTTTGAGTATTCTGGACAGCTGTCTGGGATACTGAATTAGGTGCTAAATAACGAGGAGCAGGTGCAGGTGCGACTGAGGTTTGTGTCTCAGTGATAGATGGACGTTGTCCTACAGTGTTGGTAGTTACAGAGGCTGGTGGCAAATACGTGTCCTCTGGTACTGCTACTGCTGATCCGGATTCACTTTGAGTATTAGTGGACACACTAATACCTGCATTACCACCAATGCTAACAGGTGGTAAGTACTCTGGAGCATTGGTTGAAACATCGCGCACAGTGTTTGAAGTTGATGGTGGGATATAGCCGCTAGATACTGAAGTAGTAACAGTTTGCGTCCCTGTAGTTCCTGTATTTTGTACATTATAATTGTAACCACCAGAATCTGCAGAATTTGTGGATTTTCTACCTCCAGATGATCCTGCGTTATTTGACACCCCACTGTAGTTGTATCCGGTTGTTGCTGATGTTCCTGATGCTGTACCTGTCGATCCCGTAGCAGTATTTTGTCTACCGCTATAATTGTACCCAGTAGATTGTGACGTCCCTGACGATGAACCAGTTGACTCCACGTCTGTTTTTTGTACACCACTATAATTATAGCCTGCTGCACCAGTCTCTGACGACGTACCACTGGATCCTGTAACAGTACTCTGTACACCACTATAACTATAACCAGACGTCCCAGATGATCCTGTATTTTGTCCGCTATAATTGTAGCCTGTATCTCCTGAAGTTCCAGAGGAAGAGCCAGTTGTACCAGTAGTCGTTCCTTGAACACCGCTGTAGTTATATCCTGAACCTGATGAGGCCGAAGATCCTGACGCACCAGTTGATCCTGAACTGGAATATCCTACATTACCAGTACTGCCTGCAGCGCCGTAACCAGCACTCCCTCCACCTGTTCCAGATCCTGTATTGAGTGTAACGCCGCCGTAGCTATATCCGACTGAAGAAGTTGCAGTGGAGGTTGCCGTAGACCCCGTACTGGATGAGCCGATGTTAACGTTGCCGCCGCCCGCAGGTGCAGGATACGCATAATACATTTGTTGCGCTGATATCCTGTCAACATTTGTGGCTTGAGTCGTCGAAACAGTTCGAGAAGGCAAATTGAAAGATATAGATGGACGATCGTAAACATACCCAGCCTGTCGACGAATACGAGCGTTGTCTCCAAACGCCCCATCCGGATGTTTTAAAGATGCTGATACAAATAATAAGTTAAAAAAACATAATATACACTGGTCCCACAAGTTCATTTTGAAACAACTGCTTTAAAACAGTGCTCAGTAAGTTTGAGAGAATTTATAATGTTCATGACAAATCCGCTGCGTGATGTTATGAAATAAGTACTTCCACAATCAACCCTAAACGTGAAGATTGTAATAAAATAAATATTGTTTAAACATTGAAAATATTAAATACCTTTTCAATAAAAGAGCATAATGTCAGACTACGATGTTTTAGTATTTAACTAAGTAGTATAATTTTTTGTTTTTCTGTTTAGTTCTCATTATCATTTATGACTCGAGTGTTTTGTATTGTAAATAACTTTGTATAATATATCGGAAGACTGAAGTCTTTTTACATTAAAAAAGCTGATTCTCTACTATCTTGTATCTTAGTACCTATACTATATTTTTTATGTATTGTGGTTCTCGTTTTCGAATATTACTAAATCTCGTTAGTACATGACACACCTTACATAATATTAAATATAACATTATATATGTAATGTGTAGCAACACGTGAAAAACAAAAATCAATCTATCCCAAGAAAACCCTACATTTTTCCGGGATAAAAAGTAACCTATGTGCTATTCCAGACTATATGTAATCTATCTCTGTGCCCATCTAGATTCATTCAGCCGTTCTGGCGTGATTCAGTAACAAACATCCATCCAAACTTTCGCATTTATAATATTAATTCGATTTTCGTAAGGGAATTTTAGAAACTGTGTCTACACTTATAAATAAAAGATAAATCAGCATGAAAGGGTTTGTTTACAAGAACAACGATCCTGTGGTTTTAATAAATTGCAACAAAATTGAATCCATTTAGTTTGCAACTAACTATAGTCACGGGGTCTATTTACTTTCAATTATGTCAAGGTGTTTTATTAGGCTTATGTTTGTATATTAATACGGATATAGAATCGATTAACTACAAGTAACTATAATAAATATAACGTCACGCAGTCATTATCTTGTTGTGCTTGGTCTATGATCGCATTCAACAAATCATTAATGTCGTGAAAAAAATGACCATTAAATATATGTATCTAAGTTACTTTGGATTTATTATTATATATTAATTATTAATATAAATTTATTAACTTTCAACGTTGGTACGTACCATATTCGTAACATCGACCAAAAATTAATACATAGTGGTTTAGTCGACTTGTAAAAGCATTCGTGTTTAATAGCCATCTTAATCAGACCATAGACCTGCACCTCTGTTGCTGTTTCTGGTCATGGAATAATTCAATTGTTCATAATTTAATACATATAACTAATTGTTCATTAAAATTTGGTGTTAACTCGTGCGATAAGAGCATGTGACAGCACAAAATAATGTTAATCTACACTAGTATAATCCACTCAACTATGCATTTTTGGTATAATGTAGTTTTAATGATACAAAAAGAATATGGTAAGTTTTTCGTGCCTGTAACCCCGGGCAAGGATGGAAAAAAATTGTCAAAAGTATTTTTTCGCAATTACTCGAAAACGGTAAAAATTACACAAAAAAGTTTAAATGAACATGTGTAGAGCTTAAAATTTTACATAAAAAAGGTATCATGACTTTTTTTCCTCAGATCAAAATTAATCGAGTTAGAAGTTTAAGTTTAAGAGATAAAAGTATTTTTTTAAAAATCGTAGTTAGTAGAAAAATAAGCAATTTTCTTTAAATTGCTTAAAAAAGTCAAATCTTTAATTTTAGCGGTTAAATACATCGGCATTGTCATCTGTCCGCTAACAAAGATTACAATAAGTTTAATAACTAATTTAAGTAAATTTAATTATTATTATGTTTTATCTATAGATCCGTTCGAGATAGCTACAGCAATGAATGAGTTAGTAGCCTAGTTATAGTTCCCTGTAACAAGTATATGGAATTATGTAAACGAACAAAAGTAGACTTCTTGATCAGTTTAAAGAGAATGGCAAGCACGGTACATACTCGATGGCCGTTCTTAATGGCATTTTTTAAATTATGTGCGCCTGTTAACTTTGAAACAAATATTATTAATAATAGTAATAGCTTTTACATTTTGACAGGCGCTAGCTAACTTAAAAATAATTTATTATTCTGCAATGTTTATTTCAGGCGTTGCCAGCCAGGGATGCGTAGAGGAGTTTATTTTATATAACTTTAAATTAAAATAAATAAAAATCATTAAAATAATGTGTTTTATTATAATGCCATGAAAATATTTTTTATAATCGGGGGAAGCTCAACAAAAGAAAGGTTGAGAAACCGTGGTTTATTTGATGTTTTTATGACATAATAAAATATGTATTTCTTATCAAGATAATATAGGTAAATATAATATTAAAGATATTTTTAAATAGTCAAAGTGTAAAATAATTTATACAGATAAATAAAATTGAGGTGTCTGTTTGTAATATCAAAATAACAGCGTATATCTAAATGCATATGAAATTATATACGGTACTTATAAGAAAAACATTTTTTTTAAATTTTTATCTGTCTGTTTGTTCCGGATAATCTCCGGCTGGACTGATTTTGACGAGACTTTCACTGGAAGATAGCTGATATTATAGGGAGCAACATAGGCTACTTTTATTTTACAAAAAGGATTAGGGTTCCACTCAAAAAAATCAAAACGTACTTAGGGACGAACCCGAGCGAAGTGAGGGTGACTCGCTAGTTAATCACATAAGTTTTTTATATATGTATTCAGCCCTTTTTAAAGTTCCACTGCCGGGCACGGGCCTTCCTTCAATACGAGGGGGACCAGGCCATAGTACACCACGCTAGCCAAGTGCGGGTTGGTGGACTGCACATGTCTTTCGAAAACTTGCTAGGTTCTCTCAGACATGCAGGTTTCCTCACAATATATTCCTTCACCGTAAGGTAATCATGATAGAAATGGTTCGCACATGAAAATATCAGAGGTGCGGGACTCGGGATTGGGACCCGCTTCACTTATTTTCCCAAGCGAGAGCGTTACCACTGGACTACTACTGCCACATGTAAATGAGGGGTAAAAAAATTTAAATGCACAGGAACTTTTGGGGTATCCTGGATAGGTCTGTATAATTCATAGATGTTCCTAAGTCACTTTGTTCAAGCCTGTACTGCTATATCAATATGCTTTTAAAGTCGTCGCCCTCATAAGTTTAGAAGTATGAATAGGAAAATTCAGAAAAAAAATATAGTAGAGATTCCAAAACACTTTCAATAAAAAATATTTTGAAGAAGATACGTTGAGTAATTATTGAGATATGTAATATAATCCATTTTACGCGTTCGGTTACAAATTTATCTAGATTTTTTATACTAATACCACAGATCACATAATACTATACTATTACTAATACTATGAAATTGCACGGCACATTCGGTAATCCTGGGTTCGAGTCTTTCTATTAATAAAGTCCTAGTAATCACACTGGTCGTGTTGAATTATCACCCCATCGGAATGGAGAAGTTTCCTGATGTTGATAATATCAAATTTAACGCAATGGAAATATAACATAGATCAAAACTAATTAATCAGTGATTTTTTTAAACCTATCAATTAATGACTGAGAAATTAATTTAAATTTCGATTGTTCAGGTCATGTGATGTCACATCAAATTATTTATCAAATTATTCTTACAAGCGCATCTTTAAAGTTTCATATCTTCTTCACTTGTTGAGATCCATACTAATATTATGTGATAAATGTGAAAGTGTGTTAGTTTCTTTGTTTTTTTGGGTGTTTGTCCTTCTTTCACGTCGAAACGGATTAACGGCTTTGCGTGATTTTTTGTGTGGAGATAATAGAAGGGCTGGAAAGTGACATAGGCTTCTTTTACCGCAAGAGATTATCTCATTCCTACAGGAAAACACTTTATGACTTATAATACAACTCTAAAAAATATTTATGATTAGAATTACTTGGAACTTGGTATGAATGCTCTACAATACAATTAAATAAATAGGTACGTGTTTTAACATTTCGAAATTCGTAAAATAGGGGATGAGTTTTAGCGCGAGTAAATCAGCTAGTATTTTAATATATTTTTTTAATTTTAATAATTAATTAAAAAATTGGAACTTCTCCGAATTCGAGTATAAAAGGTATACAGAGTGCACTTGTGTCTGGGCGTACTCTTGTAAGTTGTGCACTCTTAAATATATCTAAAAAGGGTTACATACTCTATGAATATATCCTGCGCAGAATGGCTAATGCTAATGGTTAGTCTCAGTAAAATTAGGCGCCGTGACGAAAATCGGTCAGGAGGACATCACTATAAAACATAAATTTAATTACTCCTTCTAATTTCGTTTGCGTATGTTTTTATTCCTAATGCAATACAATGGCAATTTATTTTCAAAGCTTATCTATTTTACTTTGTGTTCCTTCTCGGCCATTTTAAGTATTTTTTTAATTTATTTAGCAGCAAACGACATGAATCACTTTAAATTACTGAAATGGATAGTCCTTTAGTATATTTTTAACCGACTTCCAAAAAGGAGGAGGTTCTCAATTTGTCGGAATATTTTTTTTTATTGTACTTACGAAACATTTTGTTTTTTCTTTTATTTATAAATAAAAAATTAATAAGCATTTTGACAATGCCTTGAAAGCAGAACAGCTTAATAATAACGAATTATTGTACTGTCGCAAGAAATTAGGTTAAAAATGACATAATAGATATTGAACATATTTTAAAAAACTGTAGGTCCCATATCAAAAAAATGGGATCTAAACCTAAATAATTTAAAAAATAGTGAATTCAGGCAAACTGCTTCTGAGAAATTGGTAACATTATTACTCAGAATACAATTTGTTCTGTATTCTGAGCATTATTATGAAATTAAAAAATTTTTTTATAAAGGTACACATCGAACTCCTTTTTTAGTCGGTCAAAAAGGTACCTTAAGGAGCATTATTTGAATTACCAAATCTAGGTCATTGCTATGTCAGGTAATGTATGCTAAGCTGAAACTTAACCGGGCTTTTTTCAAAATACTTTGAAGGAACGTAAACAAAATTCGTTTAAAGATTACTTCAGCTCAGAGAGACTTCTAAATATATAATAAAATTGTAACTAAGCCGAATCTGTACATTAAATATTTTTTGGAAAATCTTATTGAAATAAACATAATTAGCCATATAGAGGCCGAATCTATAGTTTTTAGAATTTTTGTCTGTCTGTCTATCTGTTACCGCATCACAGAAAAACCACTGGAGGAATTTTGATGAATTTTGGAATGCTGATAGCTGGTTATCCGGGGCAACGTTTAGGATACTTTAAGATAAGAGTATATTTATATGTAAAACCTAAGAATTTAGTTTTTGGTCATCTAAACGGGGGCGAAGCCGTGGGCAATGCTGGTATTATATAAAACAAAATGTTCCTATACTTTAAAAAACGATTAAATAGAAATTTTCCTGCATATACTTAAGTATAATACTAATTCTCGCCAAGTACTTACAATATATGATGCATTGTATTAGTTTATCTGTATGTCAATAAGTGTTAAAATAAAAATACAAAAACAAAATAATAATTCAAAACAACAATATATATGAAAATAACAGGATGTAAACAGGACAATGTAGTCATCGTTACAATAAAGAGATAACATTGACATTAATCGCAACTGTTGCTTGAATCACCGCATTTGTTTCCATTTCTGATTTCATACTGTATCCATATTGCCTCATATAGCATAGCCACATAATATTACTAGTGCAAATATTATTCTAACAGTGTTTCAGTGCTTCAGCTTTTAATATTATCTTTAAGTACCTCTAATTATAGGTAGGTCCATGTAATATAATATTTGTAGTGTGAACATTGCAAATTCTTGATAACTTCTTAAAATATTTGGAAATAAAAAAAAAAGTTTTAAAAGCATAAAATAAATTTGAAGTATTTAGAACAGATTTGAACTACAGCTTCAAACCACTAAGATTCATTCCATTCAGTAGAAGTATACTTATTAAGTACCTACTTTATTTATAAGCCTTTGTAGTAGGTAATTGTAATTTTTTTGGAGCTTACAGTAAATAAATACGAGTTAGGTACTTAAATAGTGTTTAACCTTAAATAAAATAAAGAAATTTGGAACTTAAGCCTAATATTACAGATTCACAATTGTTACGATATGTTATATCTAACAAAATTATTTAGTATTATGAAAGTTCCAGAACACGACCAAGAAGAATAAATCAATCTTATTATGATGACACGCATCTCTTCATGTATCCTAAGCAGGCATTAGAGCAGCAGTCCTTATGATTCATGCACTGGAAAATAAAAATAAATTATATGTAAATATAAATAATGTACTTACTTTATTTTAAAATAATATTTACGCAATTATATAAAACTGATAAATAGGTGTTATAAATTAAAATATTATAACCAGAGCTCGGAACCAGTTAAAAAAAACGGATTATTTCGATAATGTAATGGTTAATTCATTGTTCGGTGTAACCTAACCTAACCGGCTAACCGGTTAATGAAAACGAACAGTTTAGGAAACCAAAATAATACCTAATGATTAACGGTTAAACTTAGAGAAAGATTGAATTTCGGTTTTGATATCGAAATAAAACGAAACAAAGAAACATGCATGCATCCTTCTATTAAGCCATTCACCATTAGCAAAGACACGCCAAATGTAAACACACAGTACCAGATATGGTTAAAAAAAGTTTGTATGTGTGTCTGTATACGTTGCTTTGCTACTGCTTCACGTTGAAACGAGTAACAAGTGGATTTAGATGAAGATTAACACACAGATATATAATACAGACAACGAAAAACTCTTTATTTTCTATAAAAGACTCATAATTATTATTAATCTACGAAAAATATACTTAGCTAATCGTTTCGAAACGACCTGCAATACTAAAATGTACCTACTCTTAAGTCTTACCTACGTACTTTAACTAAAAATGTCAAGCTTGATTTAAATAAGTATATTAACAATCACAAGTAAAGGTTATTGAATGGTTTTAATTCAACATCGACTGATTCATCAATAAATATCACTAAAAGAACATTGATATCAAGCTTTTCTATGTTAGAATAAACTTACTTTTAAATAATATTATGAGCATCTGCGATTAATATGATACAACAATTTTGCGATTTATTTAAATAAGTTACAAACAATATGTCCAAGTAAACTTACAAATTCGCCCACTTTTGCGCAATGAGTGCTCGCTAATACTTCCGGCACGACTTCGGGTTCACCCAATTTATTCTCTATCACATCTTGGGATGGTGATGCTGGAATATCCCTTGTAGACACACTGTCAAAGGTCCTTGCTTTTATTAAATAACTGTTAGAAAACTCAATAAGAACTATAGAACAAAGGAATAATAAAACAATTGAACGATGCATTTTAGTTAGCACTTTAAAGCTTTACAAGTGTTACCGACAAGTCCCGTTGCAGACTGATGTGGGGGAACTGTCCGCGCGTTATATGTATGTGTTTCACTTACGCTACACCCGCATAAAATCAGTATAGGCTATTAGCAATATTACCGATAATAAAAACAACACACGTTACCGTTCGTTAAGGATACAGGACGATGTTTTTCATTAATAATATTTTGTTTATTTAATCCTCTTATTATTTTCTAAAACTATTTTTTAAAATAAAGTATTCAAGGCCTTCAATCGTATTTCAATTTCATATATGTTCAAAATATGTGTAGATTAACATTTCCCCGCCACATCGGCACCTCTCCATACTTAGGAGTAGTTTTATAGTATTTAACATCCCACTGCTGGGCACTGGTCTCCCTTTAATACGAGGCTGTCATGCCATAATCCACCACACTGGCCAAATGCGGGTTGGCGGACTTACATATATTATGTCCTTCGAAAACCCGCTAGGTTCTCTCAGACATGCAGATTTCCTCACGATGTTTTCCTTAATCGTAAGACAAGTGGTAATCATGTTACTAATGATTCGCACATGAAAATATCAGAGGTGCAAGGCCCGGGATTTAAACCTGCTTCACTCGATGTCCCAAGCGAGCGCGATAGCACAGGACTACCACTGCTAGGAGAAGTTGGAATATTTTTATTATAATTATTATAATACTAGCATTACCCGCGGCCCCGCCCGCGGTCAGATGACCAAAAACTAAATTCTTAGGTTTTACATATTAGTATACTCTTACAATGCAGTTTTTGTATTTTTTCTCAGAAATGAGATATTTTTACGCGTTAAAAAGTATCCTTTATGTTGACCCGGATAACCAGCTATCACCATACTAAATTTCATCAAAATCCCTCCAGTGGTTTTTCTGTGATGTGGTAACAGACAGACAGACAAAAAATCTAAATACTACAGATTCGGCCTCTGTATTGATAATAAATTAATAATGTTTATTCCAATAAGATTTTCCAAGAAATATTTAATGTACAGATTCCGCTTAGTTACAATTTTATTATATGTATAGATAGACCAGCTATACTCAACCTGCGGCCCGCGGACCGCATGCGGCAGCATCAAAAATCGTATTACATATAACATATCTTTGTTAAAAAAGTAACTACATCGTTAACTTGGAATTACGTTTTTATTAACACCTAAATAATTTTTGCTTGCGGCCCTCGACACCATGACTGAAGCGTGTTTGTGGCTCCTATAAAAAAAAGGTTGAGTATGGCTGGTATAGACTAACGACTATTTTCCCGCAGTAAAAAGTATCCTATATGTTGACCCGGAAAACCAACTATCATCATACCAAATTTCATTAAAATCTGTGATTTTCTCGTGATGCGGTCACAGACGGACAGACAAAAATAAATAAAGGGTTATTTATATTAAAGGGTTACAAAACTATTTACAACTTATATGCTTAAATGTAATTTGAAATGAGAAATGTTAAAAAATAATTAAAAAAATATTATTTACAAAAATAAAAAACCCGACTCTCTTACTCTAACTTTGGAAAGATGAAGTAGAAAAATGTGCAAAAAAATAGAGGCGTGGAGCTTGCTAAATCTTTAAGGAATAATATGAAACACAAATTTATTTTTGCAAATAATAAAGTATGTATTGCGAAAAAGTTTGTTTTGCTTTCGTAGTTGGATCGTTGGCGAAGCCGCGAGTTCTGCTAGTCAATGACATTATGATGACACGCATCTCCTCTTAAATCCTAAGCAGCCATTGGAGCAGCAATCATTATGATTGATACACTGGAAATAAAAATAAATTATATGTATATATAAATAATATAGGTCTACTTTATTTTAAAACTAATACATATAAGCAATTAAGAAGATCTATACATATAATAAAACTGTAGAGGTCGAATGTCTGCACATAGAAAAAATGCTAAAAACCGAGTCAAGGGGATATAAGAACAGAAAATGTAGAACAAATCCAGATTTTTCTCCATTTTTTTATTTCTCTGTCTGTTGTTGTTTACGGGCTAATCTCCGAAACTGTTGGACCGATTTAAATGAAATTGTGCATGGTGGTACCTTATATCCCCGGTCAACATTTTAGATACTTTTCATCCCGGAAAATTAAAGAGTTCCCTTGGAATAGTTAAAAAAATATAGTAACTTATAAAGCTTAGTATACAACAACTTATGCACCTAATAAAATTTGGCATCCTGATGCCTTATATTGTCGGTCAAAGAATAGGTTACTTTTTATCCCGGAAAAATATACGGTTCCTGAGGGATAGATTTGTTTTGTTTTCCTAGAGGCGACCCCAAGCGAGGCGAGGGTGAGCCGCTAGTATAATATAAAACTGATAAATAGGTGTTACGAATTAAGTAGGTAATATATTTATAAACAGACCAGATACTGCTAAAGAACGCGAAAGTTTGTATGTGTGTCTGTAAATGTGGGTGTTTGTTTGCTACTCCTTCATATTGAAACGCGTGAAAACTGTATTTAGATGAAGATTAGCACACAGACTATTACTTGAGGTAAGACATACTGCTGTTAGGCACCCAGGAACCCTTTTTTTTTTTTAACGTTGGGAAATGCATTTACGCACGAGGTGTGGGACTCACCGGCAAAGCCAGTACTACCCACTAAAACCCAACGAAACCTTCCCCCGTCTTAATGGGGCGTCGCAGGATCGCTTACGCATTCAACTACGACGCCCCGACGGCAGGTCTGCCGAAGCAGACCACAACAACCACGGGGTTGCTCCACAGTCCACTCTGCTATCAGAGAAGTACCAGGAGCAACCCGCATGGTACACTGCCCTCCGAAGAGGGCCACCTCCCACCGCCCACCGAAGTGGGCCACCTCCCTGTGCGTTTCTTGGCTTCGCGCCCGGTTGGGCACTCAGGAACCCTAACCGTTGTTAAGTGTAAGTCATAAGTCGTTAACTTTAATAATATTAATTTACTTCAGACAGATAATAAAGAAAATTGGTTTGGTAAATTCTCTATTTTAATTAGAATATAATTATTCATATATGAATATATATGTACCACATTTAATACAGATTCAGACCTTCAATACTAAAATGTACCTACTCTGTCCTACGTACTTTAACTAAAAATGCTAAGCTTGATTTAAATACAATCACAAGTAAGGGTTAGTGAATGGTTTTAATTCTCTATCGATTGATTCAGCATTAAGTATAACAAAAACAACATTGATATCAAACTTTCCTATGTTAGAGTAAACTAACTTTTAACTAATATTATGAGCATCTGCAAAAAGATGATGCAACAATTTTGCGAATTATTTAAATAAGGTGCAAACAGTATGTCCACGGAAACTTACAAATTCGCCCACTTTTGCGCAACTAGCGCTCGCTAATTCTTCCGGAGCGTCTTGGGATGGTGATCCTGGAATATCCCTTCTAGACACTCTGTCAAAGGTCCTTGCTTTCATCAAATAACTGTTAGAAAACTCAACAAGAACTAAAGAACAAAGGAACAACAAAATAATTGAACGATGCATGTTAATTAGTACTTTAGAACTTTACAAATGTTACTGACAAGTCCCGTTGAAGACTGATGTCGGGGAACTGTCTGCCTCGCTATATGTGTTTCACTTGGGCTACACCCGTATCAAATCATTATAATTTATATGCGATTAGCAATATTACCGATAATAAAAACAACACACGTTACCGTTCGTTAACGACACAGGACGATGTTTATTATTAACTAGCGACTCACCCTCGCTTCGCTGGGGTTCATCCCTAGGTACGTTTTAAAGGTCAGTATGAAATACAAATCTTTGAATTTCTCGGCTTTTCTGTACTAAAATATGCATGTATATTATACATATAAACCTTCCTCTTGAATCACTCTATCTATTGCTGAAAACTGCATTAAGATCCGTTGAGTAGTTTAAAAGATCTAAGCGGACAGACAGCGGAAGGGATTTCATTTTACACTATGTAAAGATCCCGGTATTTTGCTTATTTATTCCTCATATTATTTTCTAAAACGGTTTTTTTAAATATAGGATTCAAATTTCAATGCGTCTAATGTTTTTCAAGTTAATGTCTATCCAAAATATGTATAGACTAGCATTTCCCCGGCACATCGGTTTTTATACTTAGGAGTAGTTGTATAGTATATTATTTAACATCCCACTGCTGGGCACTGGTCTCCCTTCAATACGAGGGGGGTAATGCCACAGTCCACCACGCCGGCCAAATGCGGGTTGGCGGACTTCACATATATGTCTTTCGAAAACCCGTTAGGTTCTCTCAGACATGCAGGTTTCCACACGATGTTTTCCTTAATCATAATGCAAGTGGTAATGATTTGTACATGAAAATATCATAGGTGCAAGGCCCGAGATTTTAACCCGCTTCACTCAGTTTCCCAAGCGAGCGCACTTCCACTGGGCTATAATTACTAGGAGAAGTTAGAATATTTTAATACATTTTTATTATAATTATTATAATACTAGCGACTCGCCTTTAACTGCCTCGGTGGTGTAGTGGCTAGCATGTATGGCTGCACACCCGGAGGTCCTGGGTTCGTGTCCCGGGTCGGGCCAAGTTTTATAGTTATTGAGTCTTTCTGTATAGTAAGCCTCAGTAACAGCCCGGAGTTGGGAAGTTGGCGGTATTTCATCCCCGTGCCTCGGAGAGCACGTAAAGCCGTCGGTCCTGCGCCTTAACTCTCACCGGTTGTGTCGAGTGGTCGTCCCACCGGAGTATGAGAGTGACAGGAATAGAGAGAGCACTTGTGTCTGCGCGTACACTTGTGCACTATAATATCTCCTGCGCAGTTGGATAGTCTCAATGAGATTGGCCGCCGTAGCCGGAATCGGTCAGGAGAATATCATCACTAGCGACTCACCCTCATTCCGCTCGGGTTCGTCTCTAGTTAAGTTTTAACGTTTAGTATAGATTTCTCAGAGATGAGAATTTTCCCGCAGTGAAAAGTATCCTATATGATAACCTGCAAGTATCACCATACCAAACTTCATCAAAATCTGAGCAGTGGTTTTCTCGTGATTTCCCAGACAGACAGACAAAAATTCTAAAAACTATAGATTCGGCCTCTGTATCGATAATAATGATTTCAATAAGATTTTCCATTAAATATTTAATGTACAGATTCGACTCAGTTAGAATTTTATTAAATGGATAGTTATGGCAACGACAAGGTAAATAAATTAGAAATTGTTTTCTAAAATTGTTTTGCAATAAACATGACTCACAATTTGAATAACAATGAAGTTTCAAAATTCAAATCACTTATCCATCAGCTGGTAGTTATTCAAAGCAGAATCTTGTTCATTGAGCATTATTTTCTTTTTTTGCTTAAAGTTGTTGCACGACATTTTTTTACGTTTACTTACAATTTATCCCGAACCTGATTTTTCCATAGGTGGAACTTTGCAAATTTTGTTTAAAATTATTATTTGCTGTTCATAGGTGATTCCGCTGACAGATACTTGTCAAAGGAGATGTGGAAGTTTCATCTCTTACAATACGTATAGTATATGGAATTATATAACCGAATTCAAAATAAAATTGCATTATGATATATAAAAATGACAAATAAAAACAATATTTAGAAAAATTAAAAACCCGAACGTATACGTAAAAAATAAGAAGCGAACTAAAAAGATGGAAACAAGTTGATGGAAGAACTTAGTATTATGCAGTCGGAGAGAAGATATAGTATGCATTTACATCTCATGATACATTTTGAAATGCCCGGTATTATTGTTTCATTTCGGGGTTATTATCTGGACATTTCAATGGGCTGGGAACACTAAGAGAGTTGTACTCATACTAAAGAAAAGATTTACAAAAAGTTGCCCGTGAGGTCTGATTTGTTTTATTGTACGGATATCCTGCAACATAGCTAAGGTTTATTTCAATTGATTGGAATATCCAAAATACAACTTGACCTTCCATTTCTGTGCGCTTGTATACTAAGCAGGTATCATTTTTAGTGGTTGTTGATTAAATTTATGTATGTTTGAAATAAAATAATAATTAACACACGCAATAAAATATATGACTCTCTTCAATTTTATTACTATTGCATTTTCCACTCCACTAAACGTTGCAAACAGATTCCATAACTCTAACAAGGAAAAATTTCACAAAAATATACTGAGTAGGTCCTTTAATATGGTTAGCTCATAGATTAATTTACAGACATTTTCAAAAATTAAGTAGTTTAATGAAGAAAAAATAACAACCTCTACATAAAATGTATTACTCGTACCGATTAACCTTGTTCTAAAAGAAAATATACTTTTATCTGTTTAATGATAGGCACACTACAAACTAAGCATTAGTTGTATCTAGGACGATGTTTTATTTTAATTATTGAACACTTACCTTTCATGTGCTTTCTCTGTCCTACAGTTAGTAATGAATAAAAGTATTACCGTTCGATAGACAGTTTCCGAGTGTAGGACAGATACCATTTTATTTGTAGGACGAAGTAGCCATTCGATTATGCGTATTTTTAATAATAAATACTATGAATATCAGACGGTTATTAATAAATTTTATGACCATGTTATTTTAACAAATTCGAAGAGGGGGACAATTTGCAACAAGACTCGTAACTAGCGTAAAACATACACATAATATGTTTCAGTCATTATGTAAATGGGTCAGTTAAACATTCTCTACTAGAAAGTATTAGAAGCTAGGTTAGCTTCAAAATAAATAAATACATACACACATACTTAAGGCAAATATTGATTTATTTCATCATTTCATTCTAAAGATTAAATTTACCCAATGAGGATCTATCACATCATAAAATTATCTTTTAATATTTATACAGCATATCGCATATCATACACTTTACGAGTGTTATTTAATACTTTCTTAGATTTACGCGAATGTTTGACATTTTTAAATAAAACTATCTTTTCGGATTATTTCGCGGATTTATTTAGATTTTTGGTTCCCGACGTTTCGAATGCTTTAGAGCATTCATGGTCACGGGAGAGACTGAGGTGTTACATGTCTTGAATGTATAGATGTTACAGACAGCCTACCCACAATTAACAAAATGAAAATTGCTCCAATTCCTTACAATATTTTTTAACTTTAAACATTTTTATAATTTTAATTATAATTGAATATGGAATATTATTTATTTAATTTTTGCTATTACTCTTACAATTATTACAATTTTAAAATATTAATTAGTAATCTATATTTCGTGTTGCCATTATTATATTTATAACCATAAAGAAAAATATAAAATATAGTATTAATTATTTAAGCCATATAATTGTTCTATGTGTAATTTAAAAACAACTTACTAAGCAACACTATTACTATATACTTTTACAAATGAAAAATATTAATCTATATAATTAGATATACTGTCATTTTGATCTACAAAGTAAGAACTTACTACATCTACCTGTCTGTTATGTTTATATTTATTATTTGATTTTATTATATTAATAACAGGATCTTGGGCCCGAAACCGATATCGCCCTAGAATGATTCGAGAAGCCATAGAAATTAAAAAACATCCAAACTTCAATAGGGAAGATGGCTGGGTACTACCATCGTCATGGGAGCTGGTTATCTCGGTCAACATATAGGATACTTTTTACAGCGAGAAAATATCTCATTTCTGAGAAAAAATACAAATTAAAAATACTATTACTATATACTTTTACAAATTAAAAATGAAAAATATTAATCTGATATGCTGTCATTTTGATCTACATAGTAAGAACTTACTACATCTACCTGTCTGTTATGTTTATATTTATTATTTGATTTTATTATATTAATAACAGGATCTTGGGCCCGAAACCAATATCGCTCTAGAATGATTAGAGAAGCCATAGAAATTAAAAAACAACCAAACTTCAATAGGGAAGATGGCTGGGTACTACCATCGTCATGGGAGCTGGTTATCTCGGTCAACATATAGGATACTTTTTACAGCGAGAAAATATCTCATTTCTGAGAAAAAATACAAAAACTGGTTAGAATAAAACCACGATGATACTATATATATTTCAGCAAGATAACTTATGTACTAAATAAGGCAAACACTATTTAAAATAGCTTATCTTGAAAAAAAATAACAATAGCGCTATTTCATTTGGTTTTTGGTCATCTGAACGCGGGCGGAGCCGCGGGCAATGCTAGTAATAAGTTGATACTTACTATTACGTGTAGTGTAAGTGTACCTATGAATTCTTTTATTTTAAACCTGCTTAATTATGAAAAACCTAACTACTTTTTTTATTAGTTTTGTGGATAAACCTACATACCTACCTATTCGACCGTTCCCATTTCTATGTATTATTCCAAGGTCAATGACACAGGGACATACTCGGGTAAAAAGCAAATAGTACATGTGTATCTGCCTCAGCTATGCCTTATTGTTAAAAGCAAATAAATTAATATATATATTATATTTTAGTTAAAAGAAGATATGGAAAATTACGTCAGTTGTACATATTAGTATACTCTTACATTGCAGTTTTTGTATTTTTTCTTAGAAATGAGATGTTTTCCCGCAGTAAAAAGTATCCTATATGTTGACCCAGATAACCAACTATCATCATACCAAATGTCATCAAAATCCGTCCAGTGGTTTTTCCGTGATGCGGTAACAGACAGACATACGGACGGACGGACGGTCGAACGGACAGACAGACAGACACAGACAGACAGAAAGACAGACAGACAGACACACACAGACAGACAGACAGACAAAAATTCTAAAAACTATAGATTCGGCCTCTGTATCGATAATAATGTCTATTTCAATAAGATTTTCCAAAAAATATTTCACGTACAGATTCGGCTTGGTTACAATTTTATTATATGTATAGATATCTACTCGTACTAAATAACAAGTATAGTTATGTAGTTACGTACATCAAAATGATCTTCACAGCAATGTCTTGTAGCCTGGGCAGAGGATAGAGTTTTATCATCTCTTTTTACAACGGAACACCATTTTTTACGAAGTTTTGGGTCCTTCGGTACGTTAAAAAATAGTTTTTCTGGCGATTTAAAAGTAGTGTTTGTACATTTCAGCACTATACAATATTTGTACATAATTAAAAAGGTGAATTAGACACAAATCGAACACTTAATTTGTTTCAAAGTCATTAAAACACTGCGCGCCTTATTGCTGCCAGCGGCTTACTGGCGGTGTCCGTCATTATGATGTCACAGCTATCGCGGCGGCCACGCGGTGAACTTCGCTAGTAATTTCTTCATAACTTCGTCAATTTTTGTCGTATAACAAAAAATTTTGCACTGTATGTTAAGGATTTCTTAGCTCTATAAATCTGCATTCTCAACTAAAAACGTTACGAATCCTCATTGTGGGTATAACTCGCGTCAGCTAAAAAGAACGCTGGCTGTCAAGCTGCGCAGAAGCGATTTATCGGTCAAATTGGTGGTAAGAAGAAGGGCGCAGGGCGGCTCGGTTCGTCAGTTCGAAATACCATCGCGCACACAAAAGTTTTTAATTACGAAATGGTTTTATATATAGAAAAGAGAGAAAAATTATTTTTGACGTATACTGTTTTATAAAGAGAAAGAGTCTGAATATTCAGTTAATAATTAAAAAAATGTATTAAACGTATTAATTTATTTTTTTGTAAGTAGATTAAACATTCTATACTGAATCAAATATATTTTAATAATGAATAGGATTCTATTTAATGATATTCTATCTAATATATTTTTCAATGTTCCTACCAATAACTAATATATGAAGCCGAGAAAAAATGCTATGAAAAATAAAATAATAGGCTTAGTACTTTTGTGTGCGAGTATACCCATGCGCAAACATACCCTCTCCACTTTCTTCCAGCGTTCTTTTTAGATGACGTGAGTTATAAGCTGTCTGTAACAACTATACCTTCAAGACATGTAACACCTCAGTCTCTCCCGAGACCATGGATGCTGTAAAGCATTCGAAACGTCGGGAACCAAAAATCAAAATAAATCCGCGAAATAATCCAAAAAGAGTGTTATTTACTTTATGTTTTAAAATATTAAAATTATAATATTGAGATTATATATTTTTTTCGTAAGGAAATGGCAATTTCCTGTATTGGGCTGTATCAAAAAAAAGACTGACGTTCTATGGCTATCGGTACCTTAGGCTTTAGGCTCATTTCATTCATTTTGACGAGTCCTAGACCTCACCGTTGGTTAAAAAAGTGATTTTTGAGTTTTTTCAAATCGTTAACTGTAATTTAGACCAAGGTGTTCATATGGAAAATTAAATAATTATCAACAATTCAATGCCGACTTTGTCCACTTGAAAGTGGAGAAAGTCGTTATTGAATTTTTAGATAAAATGAGTTTAACGGAGAAGAAGAAGAAAACGATATAATAAAGAATAAAATATATATTTATTAAAAAATTACAATTATAATCCAAAATTATTGAAAGTGTTACTCCACATTGGCACTACAGATGGATTTGTGTTTTTATTCTTTACCGGAGCTGAAATTGGTAGTAATCCACCGCCCAAATTCTGACCCGCAGATCCCAAACCATTGACAACTGGAACATTGCCCAGTGGCTTCTCTAGAAGCTTAGGCAGATTTAAAACCTGACCTAAAATATTTTTGCAAACAGCTCCCGTTATCCTATCAGCTATATTACCCCATAAGCCCATTTGGCAAAATCTGAAAACAGGTGATGATAAATTTTAAACATATTATAATAAATAACTAAATATTAATACATATATATGATAAAGATTCGCCATTGCGCTTCAGCTGAGGAATACAGCTAGCATTCTTGCCTCAAATCTATGTGCACGTACATTGTGCAACAGAACTGATAGAGGGACATGATTTAAAGTGAAATTTAGTCCACTTACTTTCTTTGTCATGTAAATGAATTAAATATGTCTAATACATTAAACAGTATATAATTAATATAATCTAAAAAATCTTAATATTAGATATTTTACCTGAAATTTTTATCCGTAGTTACTTTGTCAGTTATCTTAAGATATTTTTCGCCATCAGATGAATAAGGTTCAAATCCGAAGATGTTTGTTGCGTTATTCGTATTATTTTTATCGTTTGGCATTTGATGGGCAAATTTTGTTATTAGATCCAAAAAGGCATTTCTAGCTTTCTCGTCAATTTGTGATATTCCACCGACTATAGAATTGCCGTTATCGTCCAATGGTTCAAAGAGATAAGCCAGTTCATCGCCGTGAGCCGGTCCTTTAGGTTTTTTTTCATTATTCGCAGTGGATCCATCTGCGTTCTCTGTTAAAAAATATATAATTTACAAGAAGAGTTTTGAACCCTACATTACAAATATTACCTGTATGCAATATTTTTTTTCTGGAATACATTTACAATTTACTGAAAAAGATCATGACTTAGTACTTTTGGTAAACATTTTTTATATCAATTAAAAACATTAACTCACGTGTAAGAGCAAGTCCAGGTAAGAAATAAGAGCCCTTAGTAAGATTGCCGACATGTTCAAAGCTATATAGGAAGGCAGGTGCGCACTCGCTCCACGACCGCACACTTTGATACGCGGGGAAGTTGAACAGCGCGTCTCCTGGAATACATTATTATTTTTCATTTATACACACTGGTGATATATCAACCTTTTTCTTATTTGTTAAGGTAACGATTTACATGCGCATATTCTATCTCACCGAGGCAGTTACACATTCGACTTTTAAAAAAAAATACTTACATGTATTTACTTTAAGAGTCACTACTCACTTAAAGAAAATAGTTTCTACTCGTATATATGTCGCTTCTATAACTAACGCGACCAAAGCATCTTAGTAAAATGTAATGTTATTACTAAATAGCGACTAAACCTCGTTTCGCTCAGGTTCCTCCTAGATACGTTTTGACGCTTAGTATAAAAAAGTTTTTTTTTTAATTTTCTTGAATTTTTCCGACGTTTTAACAGTTATTCTGCTATTCGGGGTGAAGACAAATCCAACGAAATAAAGATCATAAAAATCACTCCAGAAGTTCTCGAGTTATAAGTGATATAACAAACCCGACTTTGCTATATAGATAGATAGATTATAATCCAAACATTCACATCGTACAGGATTGAATTGCCAATAATAAGCGCAATATTTGTCAGTACTTAGTACATAGTACTTACTAGTCAAACGGTCCACGCTACCGTTCTATACGGTAGTAACTTCTTTCACACATCCATTTATTGTTTTGTTTTTATGATATTTTTTTTTATAAACTTTACTGCTTTTGAATTAAGCATTCAGACCGAATATTATTTGTATGAATTGATATGACATTTAAAAAAAACTGTTTTTTTTTTTACAATTTTATAACGATTTATAAGCTATTGTAAAAAAAAAATAAAAAAATATCACGCGTATTCCCTATTAGCTAGTAGGTGATTAACAAATTCTATAGAAAGCTAAGAGGGGTGGGTTTTGTATAACAAAATTACTTAGGGTAAGTTTTGTTGGAATTGAAAATAATCCTTCGAGACCCTTTGCAGCTGTCCCAAATAAATATTATTATTTGGGAATTTGTTGACCGACTTCTATAAAAAACGTACTGAGTAAACGTTTATGTGTATATTTTTAAGTATTTTTGTGCTTTTTATAAATAATACTAGCATTGCCCGCAGCTCCATCCGAGTTCAGATGACCAAAAACCAAATAAAATAGCGCTATTGTTATTTTTTTCAAGATAAGCTAGTAGTTAATAGTTTCTGCCTTATTTGGTATGTTACCTTGCTTAAATATTATATAAAGGATCATCGTCGTTTTATTCTAACCAGTTTTTGTATTTTTTCTCAGAAATGAGATAATAGATTTTCTAACTCACAATTGAAAAATGTGTACATTTCTGTTTTGTAATAATATAAGTATTTTAAATAAAACTATCTTTTCGGATTTTGTCGCGGATTTATTTGCATTTTTGTTTCCCGACGTTTCGAATGCTTTACAGCATCCATGGTCACGGGAGAGAAAAATGCAAATACATCCGCGACAAAATCCGAAAAGATAGTTTTATTTAAAATGTCAAATATTCGCGTAAATCTAAGAAAGTATTAATATAAGTATGTTTATGTATATATATGTATATATATGTATGTTTATGTATATATTGTATTTATTCTGTTTTACTTATGATTATTCTTATATATTTTCTTATCGTTTCTCTGCACTTTCTCTTTCTGTCCCGCTACTTGACACTATTTCCCACATGCATGGGTTGACTGGAAGAGATCTCTTATAGAGATAAGTCCACCTTTGTCCACGTCATTTTCTATGTATTTTTTTTTATTACTTGTTTAGTGCAATAAAGAATATAATATATTTTACTGCGGCAAAAAGTATCCTATATGTTGACCCGGATAACCAGCTATCACCATACCAAATTTCATCAAAATCCCTCCAGAGGTTTTTCGGTGTTGCGGTAACAGACAGTCAGACAGACAGACAGAAAAAAATACTAAAAACTATAGATTCGGCCTCTGTATCGATAATAATGTCTATTTCAATAAGATTTTCTAAAAAATATTTAATGTACAGATTCGACTTAGTTAGAATTTTAACATATGTATAGATATAAACAGTAAACATATATACACTCAAATACGACATAGAGTAATGATAAGAAATAAAAATAGAGAATATAAGGTACTCATATTTAGGCCCTTTGTGTTGTCCTTTGTTCTCCAACAAATCCATCTAGTGTCTACTTATAATGACTTAGTAAACGCTTTACTAAATTATGTTTGTAATAAGATTAGCATACCGGTGGCTTCAGCGATCTGACTGAGCCCATCAACCGCGTTCAAGGAACTATCAAACAGAGCTTGATAGTAATCCGGTAGAGGTAGTATGCTGTTGAGTCCTGCTACTTGCAATATATTGAGGCCTGGGACATTATCTACCACATTCTTGAGTCCTCCAATTAGATCTTTCTTGATAAAGTCCTTGACCGATTTTAATTGAGTTGTTAAAAATTGATTGTACTTTCCTGGAATTATTAAGATACATATGTGTAAATTTATTGTGTATGTAATATGTATACAGTTTAAAGCAAAATATAAACACTTTTATTTTTGTTTGAGATCTTCTAATATATTAAATACTTATTATATAAGTAAACTAGCGACTCACTCTCGCTACGCTTCAGGTTCGTCCCTAGACAAAAAAAATCTATCCCTCGAGAACCGTACATTTTTCCGGGATGATATAAAGCCTTTCTCAATAAACGGGCAATCTAATGCAAAAAGAATTTTTCAAATCGGATTAGTAGTTGAGATTAACAAACAAAAAAAACCTGCCTCTTTATAATATTATTATTAAGTATAGATAAAATAAAGAACACGACATATTTACGAAACATATTTTTCCTTTTATTCTCAAACAATATAATCTATAGTTACCAAATACAGCGTTAGATGTCTCTGCGGATACGACTCCAGTGAGGATGGGACACCTTTGTTGTTTCAATTTCAAAGACTCCGACGGTTGCTCTTGTACCATAGGAGGGAGACCGCGGTCATCATCCTTATCTTCCACGCGTACACCAGAACCTGAATACGATTATGTTTTACTGTTTACAGGTTTTTTTCTATTTAAATAAAAGAATTCAAGTTCTTAAAAAATAAATCGATTTCTTAAAGCTAAAAAATTGATAATTTAATACTTAAATAACAAACTTATACATACCTGAGCGCCCAGATATTTCATCCAAAAATGCTTTCGTATCGACCATGCTTGTACCGATTTCGTTATCTACCTGTCAACATAAACATGCATCATGGCATTAATTTTGAACTTATGTACAAACTAAAGTCAGCTTTATCTAAGTGTTGAACATAAAATATGTGTATATCGATTATGATGATGTATCTAAGGCGCTAAAAAGTTTCAATAATCAAGGTTTCAATTACTTTTTAAAGAATATTCCAAAAAGGAATGAATTTATTCGTATTTATCGCGATTCTGAAACAAAAAACCTATAACGTATTAAGCATTCATCTAACGCAACATACTTGTATAATTTTTTCTACTGGAATTTTCCTTAGACACATAATCAATCTTTCTGCAGGTGCCTTAGGACAACCGGTCTTTTCCGCAAGAGCTTCGGCGTGTTTATTTGGTTCTTCTTTTATAGCTCCAGGTGATAGCGGAGCACCAGATAAAGCGACTACACCAGTAGCTGATCTGCCTTCGGGAGATAATGAGAGGAGAGATGCGGCACTGCCACCAGACCCTTGGCCCATAACAATTAGACGAGATTTGTCTCCACCGAAGAATTCAATGTAATCTTGGATCTAAAACATTTGAAGTTTGAAATAAATGAAATAAAAATTGATAGATTACTTATTATTATAACTTAGGAATTATTATTTATAACTTAGGAATGGTTGATTGATATACGACAATCATTAGTTAAAGTAAGACTGTTTAATTTTTAATAATTAAATAATAAAAAGAATTAGTATTTGATATATGCTTAATTTATTACGCAGTACTTATATTTAAAAAAAATAAGTTGGAATAATTATTTAGAGATTATTTTATTTAAATTCCTACCTAAGTATTTAGGTTTAAATATTTTAGGTAAAGACATGCTTATTGATTTCATTGTAATGCCACAGATCACAGCTTTATTCTAATCTAATAAGTACTTACTACCTACTATTATTAATTTGTAAATTTATTTTTTTATTTTAAATAAAACTAGGTATCTATCTTTTCGGATTATTTCGCGGATTTATTTTGATTTTTGATTCCCTAATCCGAAAAGATAGTTTTATTTAAAATGTCAAATATTCGCGTAAATTTAATTACAATTACAAATAGAGTCTTACCCAAGCCATAGCAGCGCGAAGGTCGAACAGGCCGGTGTTCCCTGACGCATCCCTTTGTCCCGTACTTAAAAACCCAAGGGTCCCCAGACGGTACTGAGCTGTTACTATGATTGTGTCTTTTTGCGCGAAACTTTGACCCTGTAAGTAAATATTAAAATGTACAATTTAATCAAAAAATACAAAATTCGAATTTGATTAAAAAACCAATCTAAAATTCAACATGGACTTATTATTGGTATTGATGGAAAGCTGTAAATTTTTGTGTCATTTATGTATAACATTTTTTTTCCTCAAGTGAAGCTATAGAAATAAACGGCAATGCTGTATTAATTGGCAAACTTAGCGAGATTTATGTTATAATAAACGTACCAATGAGCAATGTATACTTGAACATTGCTAATTTTCTGAATTGATATGGCATATTGAATTAAAAAATTCAATGTGTCAAATTGATTCAGAGATAAAACTCGACTTGTTCGAAACACACTTTTATTATTATACATAGTACTTCTGCATTAATCTGCAATTACGTTTGTGAACAAAACGTAAAAACAGTTGAATAGAACAGAAACTTATATAGGAAGATTAGTTAATCACTACAAAATGCCAAATATTAACATCGCTCTTTGCTATTAAATGAATAATTATAAAGTATGTACTCTACTTACTCCATACGGCGCGATTGACCCTGATCTGTAATTGCCACCATGAATAAAGAAAACAACTGGACTACCTGTAAATAGAAAAGCAAAAATAAATATATACTCTGTGATAAAAGCCAATAAAATAAAAAATAAAAATTTTATATATAATATATATACCTTGCTCTTCACCAGGCATTTTTGGTGAGAAAACATTTAAACATAAGCAATCTTCCCTTCCAATGACTCTCCCAGAGCCCAAAGGATCCAGCTGAGGACATGGTGGACAGTTTCTAGTAGCGTTGATTTCACCTGCGAGATATCGGCGTATTGGCCGTTGGAACCTCATCGGACCAACTGGTGGCTCTGCATATCTGTTAGACAGGTAATTAAAAAAATATGAAGCTAAGAAATTGATACGAATATCCAAAGTTAAGTTTCATAATATGTAGGTATTGTATTAGTTTTCTATATTTCCACTCGATTAATTCGGCCGAAAAACTTTTTTTCAAGACTCCAATTGGTGCCTGGAATCCGCCATCTTGATTTTAAATGATATCTATATACCCCATGAGACTCGTGGACTCGTGTTATCAACACGAATCTAATGACGCGAAATAATATGACTTATCAAAATCTGTTAAGCTCTTTAGTAATTACGAGTGAACATAGGGTCGGATATACATACAAAATATGTACATACATAAAATAAATAATCGATTCTACTTTTATTCCACAGTTCCACAACCTTTAAACAAAAAGTACCTACATATCTTCAAACTATTATCATCTTCATCCATCTATATATTCTATAAGTAAATAAATATAACAATATAGTAACAAAAGCAAAATCTGTACATATAATATTTGTTTAAAACAAAGACTGACGTATTGTGTACAGAATAAAGACCCCAAAACAATATTTATCGAAATGTCTGTATAACTGTACCTATACATTTCACGCAAAAAATTTAAACGGATTTTTACTAAATTTTATGTAGTGATAACTTATTACTCGTAACTTGGGTCAACATTTAAAATACCTTTAAGTATACCTTTTACTAAAAAAACTCCTTTCCCACGGGAAAACATAATAACTGCTTCGGCCAAGTTGTCCTTCATACAAAATATCAATAATTACATAAAAACTATTTTACAGCTGAATTAAAAATTAACATTATAATTTATCAAAATTTAGTTTCGTATCTATATTTAAATAGAACAAAGTTGCTGAAACTCTATGCGATGGATAATTTGCTAATTAATGTATAAAGAGTTACTCTATAATCATTTTATTTAAATTTTATTTTTAGATCTTATTTAATTTATCTAAATTAAAAATATTTATAAAATCTCTGAACACCAGACTTTATTATCTCTGCGGAAGTGCTTATCGCGACATCCGCTTTGCTTAATTTGCGATTTTTCTAACACTAAAATAAGTGCAGGAAATAATATCTAAACAGTAATATCAATATAAAATTATTTTTTCATCTTTTTCAAATAATTAAAACCAGTATAATAGTTAGAAACGCAAAGTTTGTATAATAAGTACCTACTTATAAAGGAAGTTTGAAAGAAGCACCTGTGACAGAGAAGCTGAGTAGTTAGTGTGGTATGAGCATTGGGCCAGCCGATGCAAAGCAAATCTAATATATTTCGATACGTAAAATACATATTTAGCTACTAGATATTCATAATATGTTAAAATATTGTCGGATGGCACCGACTTCGAAAATATCTGATTAGGTGTCTATTCTAAATGAAAGCCCCCGTATAGTTATTTTTTTCATTTTAGTGCCTGGAAGTCGGTTTTTTTTTTAAGTTTTTATTTTTCCATTTTTAGTGTAGACTTAATAATTTATTTAAAAAATATATTTATTGTTGATTTTTTTAAAAACCGCTCGACCGATTTCGATAAAATTTATATGGGAACTCCTGGGAAGTATACCCTTTCAAACAAAAAAAAATCCAAATCGGATTAGGCTCTCAGTTCAGTATGTTCATCGATTACTCGAAGACAGTAATCGATGAACATACATAAAAAAAGAAAAAAGATTCCGAAGAATTGATAACCTCCTTTGGAAGCCGGTTAAAAATATCGTTGATAGATAATATAGTAGGCTGTTATTTTTGATACATCATGTAAAACCCTACTAAAATAATCCTACTGTATTATGTAGCGTACAATCTGACTCAAAGAATGTTTTTTGACGAAATGTAGAGTTGACTGGTTTGCCAATTAAGGTACCGATTAAAAATCAAAACTCTAGTAAAATTTATGAGCTGTTTAGTTGCTCCAACCTACAATAATAATTTTGGTTTAATAAAAATATTCAGAATAAAAGTTCAGCAGATTTCACGTTTTAAGAGTAGCAAAATAAAAAAAAATACATCAAAACCCCACAAATAGCTAGCTCTCTAATAATTTTCCTACCTCATTCGCACACTTTTCTCTCCCTTAGTAAGTACCTAAGCAATAACTCTTTAATCTAAGAACACAATTCGCTGATGTCTATACTAATATTATAAAGAGGTCAAGTTTGTGAGTTTGTGAGATTGTGAGTTTGTGACGTTGTAGGGGGTAATTTTTGGATCTACTGAACCGATTTAGATGAAACTTGGTAAGAATTAGTTTGGAGACCCTGGGAAGGACATAGGATACTTTTTATCCCGGAAATCATTCCTTAAGGAGGTGAAAATGGGGATGAAAGTTTGTATGGAGAATCAAGCTAGGGACGAACCCGAGCGAAGCGAGGGTGAGTCGCTAGTATTTAATAACGGCTTAACTTAACGTACATTTTTTGTCGCTGATTGTGTATCAATTTGTCGCAGAGTTCTGCGAATAAAGCATCCGGAGAACAATAACAAAAGTACAAAAAAAAAGACAACCTACGTGTCGCTCTGAAAGAATCCAGAAAAAAATCTATTATATAAGAAAAAGAAATCTACCTATACAAAAAATTAAATTGAATTATCTGTTTGTTATGTCAAAATAATAGCTTTTTACTAAATACATATGAAAATATACTCGGTACTTATAAAAAAAAACAGTTTTTTTAAGTTTTTTCTGTCTGTTTGTGTATTTGTTCCGGCTAATCTCCGAAACGGCTAAACCGATTTTGACGGGACTGTGACTGGCAGACAGCTGATGTTATAAGGAGTAAGTTAGCCTACTTTTATTTCAGTAAAAGAATTAGGGTTCCGCAAAAAAAATCCACGAAATCTGCGTACTAAAGGACGTACGTCGCTAATTTGTAAGTTTATGTAAAAATAACAAAAAATACCTTATTCCAGCAAACATGTAATATCCTCGTTTATCGTCCTTAAGGCCTTCCAAGCGGCAGCTGAAGCCATGCTTCTGTGTGAAGACCACCGCAGCATCAGGCTCGGGAGGAGCAGCCGGACCCCCACCCACCACCGCCGCCGCCGGCACAGCCAAACCCAACGCAAACAACGGCCAAAACATCACTGATATACGACCGGACGGAAAAAGCTTATTTCATTGCGAATCCTGATATTATTATCTAATGTTGCATTCGTTTCAAATTTTTATTTTTACTCTGTACTCATTTGTCTTTCGCAACATTAATAAAAGCATATTTGGGCTGGCACTGATATTTTATATTACGAACAATAGTCCTACTAATATTATAAATGTGAAAGTTTACATACATCAAAATAATACATAGGGTACTTTTTATCTCAGAAAAATGTACGGTTTGGGATAGATTTCTTTTTCTTCTTCAGGAGGCAAACCCGAGCGAAGCGAGAGTGAGCCGCTAATAATATATTAAACAACTAACGACTCACCCTCGCTTTGCTCGGATTCGTCCCTAGGTACATTTTAATTTTTTTGAGCAGAACCCTAATTCATTTACTGGAATAAAAGTAGCCAAGTTACTCCTTATAACATCAACTACCTGACAGTGAAAGTCTCGTCAAAATCGGCCCATTTCGGAGATTAGCCGGAACAAACAAACAGACAGAAATTTTAAAAATTATGTATTTCTTATACCGTAAATAATTCCATATGCATTTAGTAAAAAGCTGTTATTTTGACATTACAAACAGACACTTCAATTTTATTTATCTGTATAGATATTGTGTATGGAAATATTGATTATCAGCATCTCGGTCCTCGACTGACCCTAGAATAGACCGAATGCCATTTTTTTGTTATGTGTTCATAAATCATTAAAATCTAGTTTTATTAGTATTTTTTTTTGTTTAGTTCAAGGGTTTACAAATCCGCACGAGTGAAGGCTTAATTTGAGCTTACGAATAACATCTATTATTCGCATAATAAACTTAACGGGAGCTTTTAAAGTTTAATTTTCGAAACTAAAATTGTTGTTATTTATCTTCACTTTGGATAGTTTTAAATAGTTCTTGATTACACAGAAGTTCTATCAAAATTAATTTCATTGGAATTATCACCCCTTTTCAGCCCAAGTGTTTCTGATCTAACAATAAGGTTTATTTCAAATGTTGGCAGATAAGAATAATTTAGCAAGAAATTCCGAAATTTAGCATGGTACCAGAATTTTAAAGTATCTAATAATGTTTATTTTACGGTATGATTTATGAAAATTACTAAGAACTTAATGACTGCACAATAATCATGCCACTTTATATCAACATTAGTGAAGTAAGCTCGGTATAAAAAAAATCTTACTTAGACATTATTCTTCGTTAAATTTGTAGTTTGTACTGAATTGATTTGACGGCACGTTTGGCTCAGTTTGTATTACTACCCTGCTTGCTGTGCCAGCGGTCGCGGGTTCGAGTCCCGCTTGGGGCATTCATTTGTCTAATGTGCACAAATGTTTGTACTCCATCCACGGGTGTTTATACTTTATATAACCATGGAACTAGATGGTGATGTGTGTAAATGTCCCAACATATTTATTTGTTTATTTATTTTAATTCATTCATGAGGCTAGACCTATATATAGGTACTTTTGTGTACCTATTGAATATAGTAACAAAAATCTTAGATAAATATCGCAACCACGTTCCATACGGTGTTAATGAATTTTCCCTAATTATTTATTACATACCGCTCTTACTGCTAATTCAGGAAATTTTATTTAATGTATGCCGTCACATAATTCTCAGAAATAAAAACCATTAAGGTGTTTATGTCTATTTTGGACGTCGCCGGGGAAACTCATCACGGGGTCTCTGTCGGCAGTCAACGGTCAGGGGACTGTGGTCTGTGAGACTCTTACACTAAGTTCCGTGCAGCGGAACAATCACCACAGAGCAATGGGATGTTGCTGGTTGCAAGATCGCTTGCGCACACACTAAAACACCTTTATAAATTTGTTAAATTAAATTTAAAATATTAAATTTCAAGACAACTTTTACCTATTATAATCCGAATCGATTCTGATACCAATCCTTTTAACATAGTGCAGTGTCGAACGTGACGCCATAATAATCCAGCTAGACTACATTAGGGTATTTTATACATATAATAGAGCTGTTGGATGCATATTTTGGAAATATGAATTAAATACAGAAAAATTAATTATAATTTGCCTTCGGCATTTTACAATTCAGCAAGCATTTCCAAATAGTCGCGTCGGCGCCATTTGTAATATGATGAATTAGTCGAGTGCAATTTTTATATCTCGGAACCCAGCTATAATGAATGGATTTGACTGATTTTTAACCGACTTCCAAAAAGAAGGAGGTTCGCAATTCGTCGGATCCTTTTTTTATGTATGTTCACCGATTACTCGAAGACGCCTGAACCGATTTGGAAAATATTTTTTGTTTCAAAGGGTATACTTCCCAGGTGGTCCCATATAAATTTTATCGAAATCGGTCAAGCGGTTTTTTTTAAATCAACAAATAAATTATTTTTTAAATAAATTGCTTAATCGTACATGTTATTAATAAACTTTCTTTTAACAAATTACCTGCTTATTACGTCTACACTAAAAAGGGACATATAAAAACTTTAAAAAATAAATAAATACCGACTTCCAGGCACTAAAATGTAAAAATAACTAAACGGGGGTTTTCATTTAGAATAGATACCTAATCAGATATTTTCGAAATCGGTGCCAGCCTACAATATTTCAAGATATGAATATCTATAAAATAAAATAATATAATAGGTAAATATGTTTTTACGTATCGAAATAAATTAGATTTGCTTTGCTTAGGGCCATTGTTCACCACGCTGGCCAAGTGCGAGTTGATGGACTTCACAGGTTTTTTGAAAACTTGCTAAGTTCTCTCATACATGCAGGTTTCCTCACGATATTTTCCTTCACCATAAGACAAGTGATAATTACGTGGCGCAAGACCCGGGATTTGAACCCGCTTCACTCGGTTTCCCAAGCGAGCGCGTTACCACTGGGCTACTACTACCTTAGTTTAATACACATTCCTTAAGATAATCTTCTATATATATAAAAGAAAGTCGTGTTAGTTACACTATTTATAACTCAAGAACGGCTGAACCGATTTGGCTGAAAATTGGTGGGGAGGTAGCTTAGAACCAGGAGACGGACATAGGATACTTTTTATTCCGTTCGACCGCATTCCCGTCTGACGTGACATAAAACTCAAGAATGGGTGGAACAATTTTTATGATATTTGAATTTTTGGATTTCTCTTAGTCTAGAATAGGTTAATAAGTATTAAAACACCAGAAAAATCACGAAAAAAAAAATTAAGATTTATATGATTAACGCTGGCTAATAACTATTTATATCTATTTAAATCCTAGTAGGCAATATTATCAAATTATACTTTTTTTAGAAAATAAAGTAAATTATAACACCAATTCTGCTCTATGTTGCTTTTAATCTGCCTGACCCCCGAAGGCGAGGTTATTTTTTTTCTGAAGACTAAAAAATTACATAATACAGCACGCACATTGTTTTTATACACGTAAGTTTGAATTTGTGGAACTTATAATTTTTGGGTTGTATTATTTAGTTTGACTTAAGTCTTAAAATCACTTATAACGCCACTTTTTGAAGAAATTTTTGTTAGAAACTGTGTATCATCACATCATCATATTATGTCATTATTACAGCGTCATTATTCGTATTTGACAATATACTTACATTATCACCAAGAAGAGAATTTAGATAAGTTTTACAATCAGTTACCTAAGCATTTACAATACTATTTTGCTACTTACTTTTGCCCGTGACTTAGACATCGTGTTAAGGCTCAATTTAGTATTTAGTATCTCCTACAATATACCATTGCACAGGTTATAGGCTCGAGCTTAAATTGAGAGCATGATGTAATGCACATCCATTTTTAATAGTAGTTTTCTGATATAAGACCTATTTATTACACGGAATTTAAAAATTCTTGTGATAAAAAATCAGCAGAACAATGCTGATTTTGGGAGTATTTCGTATTATTTTTTAAAGTTCTGCAGCCCAAAAATAGAACGGAAACCTTATAATTTCGCCACATCCGTCCGTCCATAAGTCACAGTCATTTCACTAGAGCTACATTGCTAAAATTTGGTAGATACATGTTTCATGTGAACCGCTATATAGTTATATCATAGATCATAATATAATACTATACTAGGTATAATATTATCAGCAATATAATGCTCTAAACTCGAAAGCGTTTTTCAGAGATATTTGCATTTAAAAATTGTCCTAAAGACACAATAAAAATCATCAAAAATGAACTAATTACGTGTTAATTATGATATGTCAGCAGTTTTCAGAAAATAGTTTCCATAATTCTTCTTCAAAATATCTCAGAAACGTGACATCTCAGGACATTATACTTATTACAGATGCTATTTGTTTGTTTAAATGTCCTCTAGCCTTTCATACCAGTTTCATCAAATGTCACTTTGAAACGAAATTAAAATGGAGGCGAGTTGCTCACGCATTTGTCTTTCTTCAGTGACCACTCGCCCCTAGGACGTACTCGTATAAAAAAACACAGAAGACGCTTTATTGAAATATGTAGGATGACCAGTCAAAGAAAAAAATAGACATCATAACATGTAAAATAAATTAAAAATTTAAAAAAACCCTACGCAAATTAATGTCATTTAACGATTAAGTCCACTGGCACGCGTGAAGCACTTAATCGATTAATCATAGGCCAAAATGATGTACATTTTGGAAAAGAGCTGATACTCTTACACCGCTTAGCCGATATTAACCAAACATAGCTAAGAACCACCGCAAGGAAACCAGCTTTCAAATGAAAAAAACCGCATCGAAATCGGTCCATCCGTTTAAGAGCTACGATGCCACAGCAGACACACACTCAGCCAGACAGACATCGACGTCAGTAGTACCTACCTACCTACTAATAATAATCGCATACTATAATCTATATAGTAAAATTCTGAGTCGAATCTGAACATTAAATATTTTTTGGAAAAACTTATTAAAATAGTCATTATTACAGATACAGAGGCCGAATCTATGACTTTGGATATGAAATGGCTGTTTTTAGATTTTTGTCTGTGTATCTGTTTGTGAATGCATTATGTGGAAACCTGGACAGATTTGGATGAAATATAGTATGATGATAGCTGGTTAACTTATACTAGGATACTTTTTACTGCGGGAAAATATCTCTGAGAAATCTATATTAACCGTTAAAATTTAAAACGTAGGGACGAACCCGAGTGGAGCGAAGGTGAGTCGCTAGTAATATAATATACTTATTTATTATTTACTTACCCATAATTATTATTGAGTTTAATAATTTTACTAAACTAGTTCTTAATTTGAGCGATTTTCTTGTAACGTAGGTAATAATTACATATTTTTTTGCTGACCTTTTAGTGACTGTGACCAATTTAAAAAAAAAATAACAATTAAAAAAATATAATATAATAGTTTATCTATACATATAATAAAATTCTAACTAAGCCGAATCTGTACATTAAATATTTTTTGGAAAATTTTATTGAAATAGACGTTATTATCGATACAGAGGCCGAATCTATACTTTTTAGAATTTTTTCTGTCTGTCTGTTACCGCATCAAGGAAAAACCACTGGAGGGATTTTGATTAAATTTGGTATGATGATAGCTGGTTATCCGGGTCAACATAAAGGATACTTTTTACCGCGGGAAAATATCTTACTTCTGAGAAAAAAATATAAAAACTGCATTGTAAGAATACACTAATATGCAAAACATAAGAATTTGGTTTTTGGTAATCTGAACGCAAGCATTGCTAGTTATTTATATATTAAAAAATATATATAATAGTTTATTAATAAACCTCTTTTGCGAGTTTTCTATCGTTTTTTTTTATTTGTATAATATTTCCACTAAAATTGAGTAAAATATGTGCACTTGCAACACTCATGAGGAAAATCTGTATACACAAATTGAGACTTTATTTCATAAAAATTAAAGTTCAAAATGCTAAACGATTGCCTTTTAAAACTGATGAATCTACCTTCTCTGTCTAAACGTGGAGTAATCGTGTCACAACGTTCCTAGTATTATATCATATTTTCTTATATTTTGATATAATATGTAACCGTAACAAACAGCTATGAATAATAAATTCATATTATTTAAACAGCTAAAACAGCTCAGAAGGGTTTTCCAGGAAGACAAATATTTGGCAATTAACATTTATATTTCTCGCTTTTTCTGTATACTCATTTTACATTTATATTTTATATTCCTAACTCATATAATCCGAATCACCGACTGTCCACTTGACATATCAAAAATCTATTGTCAAAATCTACAAACTGGCACGTCATAAAATAACTGAATGTTACACAGCTCAGAAGGGTTTTCCAGGAAGACAAATATTTGGCAATGAACAATTATATTTCTTGCTTTGTCTGTATACATATTTTACATTTATATTTTATTCTATTCTATTCTTTTGTTTAGTGGCTTCCAATTCCTAACTCATATAATCCGAATCACCGACTGTCCACTTGACATATCCAAAAATCTATTGTTAAAATCTACAAACTGGCACACAAAATAACTGAATGTTACAGTCGGCCATCCGTTACAATGACGACTACCTTCGTTTTATGCCACACTAAGTCAAAAAAGTTTCACAATTCATTGCAATTGATGATTCACATTTCACTCATCTTACATTAAAAAAAGTTTGATATATCCTGCTACTTAGAAATCTGTTTGTTCATAACAATAATCAAATATGCAGCTAGATTTTTATCGGTAAATGTATCTTCAGTAGAGGCGTGCACCCAGTGGTACAACCTGACATAAAGTATCGTCGCACTTTTCTTAAAGAATTCGGACTGAATCTCATAGAGGCACACTTAGAGGAACGCCTACAAAATCCAACTTTGAGGAGGGATATAAAAGAAAATATTGCAACGATCCTCAAAAAACCTATGCTTGTTGTAGTATTTGCATAAAAATACAAGTAAACACTGTTTGGCTCGTTTGGTCACCAGTATGCAGGATTAACACGTACGCTAGCACCGCCTCGGCTCTCACGTAACTGTCAAGTGTCAATCCCCTACCCGTGCACCCGAGACAACTCATTACGGATTAAATACACAAACACTACACTTGTCAATCCTTTTGGGTTTCAACGTCACTCCCAGAGGCGTTGTGATTTCTGCCCAAGAAACAGGGACCGAAAGAGCAAGACCAGGTGCACTAGGTGCAAAATAGGAATTTGTTTGAAGCACTAAATTAAAGTATGTGAAAAATGCTCAAATTGAATTGTTGTTTTAAATTATAAGACTGATTAGTGATCTCATCGTGTTAATTAATATAAATAAAATTATAATTTCATAAACTTGTTTTTATATATAGTTTATGGACTATTTAATTTTGGGGTCCCTCGTCACCCCTGTGTAGGAATACTGCATGCGCCAGAGAGTGTAGGGTTCTAGGGTTAAAGTTAACGGACTGAAAGGACTAACTATTATTAATATACTCGACTTTACTAAAACATTAATCAATTAAAGATTAGTGGATAAAAGTATCTATGTAGAATCATCAGAATAAATCATAATAATATAAAACGTTTGAAAATACAAAATCTATATTTTTCTAAACTTCAATAAACAAAATATAGGTTTTTTGATTATTTTTATATTGTTCCACAGCTGTATGTATGTCTGTACGATGCTATATTTTAATGAGTCTATACAATTTATGTATTTTTAAAAAATTAATCTTATTTCAAGCTTCAATAGTAAAAGAAAATATGAAAATAAGTAGAACAGCTAAGATTTTTTTAATTTTTTAATCAGATTTTCCAGGAAAACAAATATTTGGCAATTAACAATTATATTTTACGCTTTTTCTGTATACTCATTTTTACATTTATATTCCTTACTTATATAATGCGAATCACCGACTGTCCACTTGAAATACCAAAAATCTATTGTTAAAATCTACAAACTGGCACATAAAATAAACTGAATGTTACATAAGTAAATATGTTTATTAAATCATCCAAATGTTTTTATATACTTACTATAGAAACTGCTAACGCCCAAAAAATGTAACTGCTTGACGTTGTGGCGTAAGCTACCACGCAAAGTGTTAAGTCAAATCGATCAATACTCAGAGCAATTTAATTAAGCCCTAAGAAAAATATTCATATACGTAATTGAGTGTGCAACAGTACTAGAATGTTTTATTTATCTAAATTTTTTTTATAAACCTCTTATTTTTCAAAATATGAATTATAATCGTTTTAGGGGAATTTTGTTCGTACATAACCACACTGTGACGACACACAATACGTCGCTTCTGCGTCATCATACCTTGAACAGCGCTCAAACGGGGAGGACGTGGGATGAAAGAGTGTGTAGTGCTACATTAGAAACATTATATTTTTTTTCAAATGTTTCTAATATCGAAATTATAAGTACAAAGTAATAGGATAGGTAAGTTATTAAGTTTTAAACGTGTATTTTATATTTCCTTAATTAATAATTGGTTATTAGTAATTGGAATAATCATTAAATTATTTTTTTTGTTTCACAGGGTTTTATTACGGTCGCCGCCATCATGGCGTCGGACGAACAATTTTCGCTATGTTGGAACAATTTCCATGCGAATATGTCGGCAGGCTTTCATGGCCTGCTGTCGCGTGGAGATTTAGTTGACGTAACGTTGGCTGCCGAAGGCAGATTACTACAGGCACACAAATTAGTTTTATCAGTATGTTCTCCTTATTTTCAAGAAATGTTCAAAATGAACCCCACTCAGCATCCCATAGGTAAGCATCTCTTGAATTTCGTTAATTATCGTTGATTAAATTCTATGAAATTATTGTTTCTGTTTCTTAATTAGTATATTAATTATGTTTCTTTTGTTTCAGTATTTTTAAAAGATGTTAGTCATTCAGCGCTTAGGGACTTATTACAGTTTATGTACCAAGGTGAAGTTAATGTTAAGCAAGAAGAATTAGCGTCGTTTATTAGTACCGCGGAACAACTTCAAGTTAAAGGTTTAACCGGTAATCAAAATGAAGAAAGTTCCACGCCATCCAAACCAAAGCCGACGTCGAGGCCAGGCCCGAGGTCGTCACAACAAAGGCAATCTGTTATGACTAAGTTAGAGACTGATTTAGATTCTAAGCCCTCCTCAACTCCAGTAGCAATTAAGAGACCAAATAGGCCATCAATAGCATCAAATAATTCGTCATCATCTCAAAGTGGACCTGCGAAACGAAAATGTGTAGATCCCTTAGAAGCCGGACCCTCTGGATCAACAAAAGAGGAATTTGTTACGATACCGGACGAAGATGAAAATAACGCAGTGGCACCGAAAATGGAACCCGAATTTGTTAATGAAAGCATGTGGGATGAAGATGACGATGGCACGAATAACGATGAAACAAATTTCGGCGAAGATGACTCGAATATGGAAATGACTGGTAATTATTAAATTATATTGGTTCTGTGTATCGTCTTTGTATATTTCATTATTTAATAAAATGTATTATTTCAGGCTTTGATGGTTCAACGACGGGTGATGGTAATATAACTGGAGGTGGGGAAGGCGGCGCTGTTGGTGACGCACAAGGTAGGTTTTCATTTCGATCGTCGGGATAGTTTTCATCAATCAATTGATGGAATCTACCTCTAAAGTAATGACTTATATGATCTTCAATTTAATAATCTCTGCTTAATTTCATGTTAATTATTTATCATACAAGATCATATACGTCTCTAGTTTTAGAATGAAATTTGTAAGTTAGCTGTAAGAATATTAGATAAGTTATTTTCTATGGTTGTGTAATAAATTTGTCATGTTACAGGTTTTCGAGTAGAAGGTAATGCTTTGTAGAATTACTTTTCTTAAAGCATTTCCTTCCAGTTTTTTAAGAGGTTTAATTTGGTAAAAGGTATCTGCTTTTTTGGTAAGGTAAAATGGTTGTGTAAATTGTAAAATTCATCGCTAAGTAGGTTCCGAAGCATATAAAGGGTAAGGTAATATTTTTTTGAAAGATGGTAATAAGTACAAAAAAGGTTTTAAAAGGTATCAACTTTTAACAATTTGCCTAAACATGTTACCAACGGGAATGTAACATGTTCAAGCAACTTGTTACGAGTTATGTTCTGGTAAAGTTGTTCCTACGAATTAGTAGGTTACTGCGAAATATCATAGTACCTACCACTGATTTGTATCTTTTTACATGGTGTTTCTGTTGGTAGGCATGTGGTATGACCGTTTTGTTTAGCCGTGAACCTTTTAGGATGATGACCGGTAAGTATGGAGTATGGTTTTTATATAGGTAGGTATCAATGTGTAAGTACTGGCGAGTTTAAGGTTTCGCATCGACAAATCTTTTGTATAGAAAGTTAACCTGTAGGTAATTTATTAGTGTTGTGCGACACATGCCACTGCTCAAGGTTGGTTCAGCAGGAAAACTGCTACACTATTGCATCTGCTATGCGCGTCGCAGTTTTTTCCGGTGCTACTAATTTACTTGCAAACGGGTGTTATTGGTAGTACAAAAGACTTGTGAACGGTTCTATGTACAATATAATATGTGCTACTATATATTCGTTACGACGTATACTGTACAAAACGTGCAGGACAATGCCGTCTGAACCCAATCTTAATTGTGAGAGTGACACTTTATCAAAGTTATAAAAATTATAAGCTTTAAAAAAAAACCGACTTCCAGGCACTAAAACGTAAAAAATAACGAAACGGAGCTTTTCATTTAGAATAGATACCTAATCAGATATTTTCGAAGTCGGTCGTTCATATCTTAAAATATTGTAGGCTGGCACCGACTTCGAAAATATCTGATTAGGTATCTATTCTACATGAAAACCTCCGTTAAGATATTTTTTACATTTTAGTGCCTGGAAGACAGTTTTGATTTTTTTTAAGTTTTTTATTTTTCCATTTTTAGTGTAGACGTAATAAATGGGTAATTTATAAGTAGAAAGGTTTTTAATAACATATTCGATTAAACATTTTATTAAAAAACATATTGTTGATTTTTTTAAAAACCGCTCGACCGATTTCCATAAAATTTATATGGGATAACCTGGGAAGTATACCCTTTAAAACAAAAAAAAATCCTAATCGGTTTAGGCGTCTTCGAGTAATTTGTGAATACACATAAAAAAAAAGATTCCGACGAATTGAGAACCTCTTCCTTTTTGGAAGTCTATTAAAAATGGCCAATATTTGACGCCATATTACGTCTTTAAAAATTTTTTTATCAAAACCTACTGAGGGGTATCCAAATAAAGGGTTTTATAAAAGGCTTACAAAAATATGTACTTAATAATTAGATCTTCCACGTCCATATCGCTCATCAAAATGGTCCCAACTGGCCGTAGCTATGGCTGCTATAACTGGCTGCCACAGCCAGGCTGCATGGTGCGCGGGCTCTCTTAACCGAATACTCACCGGACTTGTGAAGCAAATCGAATGAACTTAAACGTATTCGGTTTGCAGAGGCGCATAGTTTAGCTCTGTCTTTCACACGGCACTATGAAGTACGTTTTTAATCGAATAGCAACCGTCGGCGTCTTCGATACCAATATGAAATTACAACCAAGCGTGGATCCATCACCACACACGCACTTTATTTTAAATCACTTTTGTGGGGGCCCCTCTCTTGTGGAGGCCCCGGGGCTCTAGCCCCAGCTGCCGTCCCCTATGTGCTGCCCTGCATAAAGTAGGTAGGTAATAATAATCACGTAATGAGGTAACCTAACAAAAAAATTCTTGTTGAAATAAAAAAATAATAACAAAAATGTTCTCAAACTGTGAAAACGCTTTTCCGTTTCATGATATCTTAATATACTGAGATAGTTCGTTTTTGATCGTTTTGGATTTCACAAGTTTCATTCGTTTGCGTTAGCTAATTCTTTCTTTCTTTTTGCCAATAAATTATTTTGGCGACCCTGAGCTTGACGAAACCATTCTCGAACTCGTGACTTCGAATATTTTTTCATCAATCACCTTGCAAGTCTGAGAGACGGCCTCTAAAAAATTCTATTCATTTTAATCCATAGCACCTTCACGTGCGTAAATATAATTGAGATTTTAAAATGATAATGTATACCTATATATCAGCTTCATGACTTCCAATATTTTTAGCTTATGTTTTCCTGAGCGACCTTCCCAAGAGTAGCCTGTCGCGAGTTCATTGGTAAAACGTACCAAACATCGCCGTATTGCGTCATTAGCAGCTGAGCCTCCAATGGCTTTGAAATATATGAACTGCAGGAAAAAAGAAAATATAATAGAGAAAACCGAAATATAGTGCGCTGCTTATTGGTAAAGTTTATACCAGGAGATAGTATATCTAAAGAAACTGTTATAAATAGAAACACGTAATTAAGTAATTATTATCAATTGCTAAACACAAAACATGTAATCATCGTAACATTGTACGATAAAATCTTGGTGGTTTTACACCTTTAATTACATAAACCAACTTACAATTAAATAAACTGATTTTATTAATAAAAATGTATGAATAATTAATTAACAATCAGCATTTCTTGAAACGTTCAGAGAATCCATACTAATATTATATATGTGAAAGTGTGTTTGTTTGTTTGTCTTTTTTTCACATCGAAACTGAGTGACGGATTAACGTGATTTTTGGTGTGAAGATAGTTGAAGAGCTGGAGAGTGACATAGGCTACTTTTTATCTCGGGAGATCATCCCATTCCCACGGGCAAACACGTTATAATACAACCCAAAAAATATTTATAACTAAAATTACTTGAAACTTGGTATTAATGTTCTTCAATAATATAATTAAGTAAATTCGTGTTTTAGCATTTTTCGAAATTCATCCCATATGAGGGTAAAATAGGGCATGAAAGTTTGTGTGATGACTACCGTTTTAGAGTCTTTTTTTATAGTTCGCGGGTTCTGCTAGTTAATTGATAAATATCACACAACATACTCACCAGTCGAGAAGACATTTTTGGATCCTTTTTAATATTTTCTTCCAATTCACACAATTAACTATGAGTTGTTTACGGAAATATGCGTCGATATCAGCACTTATTTCGATTTCAGCATCAGTAATCACGTGTTCTACTGCCGAGCCTGTTTTGAGTTAAGCTAGCATCTCCATAATGCGACGAAGCTCCATCTTCATATGTAGATTGTTCTCGAGTATCTCAGGTCGTTCTGAAAATTATAAATTTATAAATATGACTATTAGTATTGGATAGTATGATTACCGTTACGTTTATATACCTGAAGAGATGACGACTGAGGTACTACGCACAACTGGACGTGACGGATTATCAATCATTTCAGGATTATGTATGGAAAACATTTTTTTGTCAGTACTACAAAATTCTACAGAATAATGTCATTCCCCTATCATCACTTGTAACAATATTATATTAAAGTCTGCCTCGTTGTCTTAATTAACTGCCTCGGTGGTGTAGTGGCTAGCATGTACACCCGGCTGCACACCCGGAGGTCCTGGGTTCGAGTCCCGGGTCGGGCCAAGTTTAGTTATTGAGTCTTTCTGTATAGTAAATCTCAGTAACAGCCCGGAGTTGGGAAGTTGGCGGTGTTTCACCCCCGTGCCTCGGAGAGCACGTAAAGCTGTCGGTCCTGCGCCTTAACTCTCACCGGTCGTATCGAGTGGTCGTCCCACCGGAGTATGAGAGTGATAGGAATAGAGAGTGCACTTGTATCTGCGCGTACACTTGAGCACTATAATATCTCCTACGCAGTTGGCTAATCTCATTGAGATTGACCGCCGTGGCCGGAATCGGCTAGGAGAACATCATATTAAAATCACACTTTCTGGATATCGAGACACTATAATTATTACCTAGTAACTGCTGGTTTATGGCATTTAGATATTTTTGTTGTATCTGATGAGCTGCGACTAATCTAACATTTTGCATTAGTAATCAATTATTATTATTAATTCATAAATCAAAAATCTTCTGACATTTTCCGTACACGTCTTGTCTACAATATAAAATGAGGTAAAGATCATATTATTTTATCAAACAGCTACGTTTTCTGATCTATTGGTACAAGTGATAAAGAGACTGTTAATTTTCAAAGTACGGTTTAGATCAGTCAGAACTAAAAAAGTAATCTAAATAGGCGAATTTTGTAAGTAAAAAGAAACTACGGAAATTTTAATTACTTGTAATTAAATATTGAAGTCTATAAAAATTTAGTAAATAGTACTTGTCCATACTTACTAATATTATAAATGTGTGTGTGTGTGTGTGTGTGTGTGTGCGTGTGCGTGCGTGTGTGTGTGTGGGTGTGTGTGTGTGTGTGTGTTCGTGTGCGTGTGCGTGTGTGTGTTTGTTTGTTTGTCCTTCTTTCTCGTGAAAACGGAATGATGGATTGGCGTAATATTTTATGTTAAGATTATTGGAGGGCTGGAGAGTGACATAGGCTACTTTTTATCGCGGGAGATCATCTACTTCCTACGGGAAAACACGTTATAATACAACCGAATAAAAAAATTATGATCAGAATTACTTGAAACTTGCTATTAAGGCTCTTCAATAAAATTTAATAAATACGTGTTTAGCATTATTGAAATTCATCT